GATGGCACCGGAAGTGATGCTAGGTGAGAGGTACGACGACAAGGCGGATATGTTCTCGTTCGGTGTTTTGCTGTCTGAATTGGATGTGCATGTACTTCCATACTCGCACGCAAAGGAGAGGGATGTTCAAGTAGCGGATACTGTCACTTTACAAAAGGTTGCTCTAGGTACTTTGCAGGTCGAGTTTTCATCGAGTTCGTTGGGATCCGTGGTGGATCTGGGTTTGTCGTGTGTGTCACGAAACCCGAAGGAGCGCCCAACCTCAGCCGAGGCACTCTATCGACTACACACGATCTTATCGCAAGAAATGTAGAACTGATTACAACTTCGAAGTATTATTGAAGGCATTGCTAAGTTTGTCTCCACTTCAAAGCTTCATTTTCGCATGGGCACAACTTCGAATTCACAAGTACTTAAGTACCGATTGAGTATCTCTGTGTAGACATCAGTTGAGCTCCAATTGGAGACCTCCTTTGATTCCAGGACCTGAATCAAGGGAAATTGCAGCGCAATATCCAGTGACCAAGGTCGCCTCCCTTTGTCCATCGGAGGTGGACTGAGCGCTGCTCGTCTGTCAACTCGGATCGTTTTTGCGATCGTTAAGGTCCAAGTGCAGTTGATGACCGCGGGAACAGGTCCAAGTCCGTTAAAGTCACTTTCTGCGTCGACGCCACTTTATTAAAGCATTGGAAGGACCGTGTTCACAAGTCAATTCTATAGAACCCGCACGCGTGCTGCGTAGTGAGTGTCATTTGCTACCATGTGGACAACGAAAATCTTCGCTCCCGATAGCTCTCGCAATGACAGCACCTGCGACGAAACACCCGATGCGATAGTTGTTTTCATCGATGATAACTGCTCCAAGGCGAACTGTGCAGTGGCAAATTACAGCAAGTACAAATATCATGTCTCCAACACGTGTAACGTCACGGATCCCAACAAACTCCGACGAGTACGTGGTGGTTCAGACATACAACGATTCAAGCTGCTCAACATTATCCCAAACTGCTGCATATTCTCTTGGAAAGTGCCTTGCCATCAACAATCGCAGATCCATTCAGTGCTTTCAATCGCCGGCCGGCAACGTAACCGTCAAATACTACAATGCCACAGACTGCAGTGAGGGCAACAACTACCTTAATGTACCGGCGTACACCAACTCGAGCGACAATTGCGTCAATAGCAGCTACAAGGCGTACATAACTGTTGTCGAAAGTACATCAACTGCGTCTCACAGCACGAGTGCCTCAGCTAGCAGCAATGTGCCAAACCCAACGAGTACCCCAATCGACTCAAGTGACTCAAGTGTCAGTGGATCTCTCGATACGCTAAGCAACGAAGCCTCCAGCTCTACTGGTCAGACTACTACCTCAACACTTGAGTCGGACAACCCGGGTATCAGTACAGGAGCCATTATTGGCATTGTCGTTGGTGTTCTCGTCGCTGTGCTGGTCGTCGCCTGGTTCGTGTGGTATCGTCGACGATTCACGAAGAACGGCGACTCCGACGCTGATAAGCGTGAAGGTGCATACGCCCAAGCTTCCTCACCAAAGTCGGATCAAAAGAGCACTGATACAGGTGTTACCGACTTCTCCAGCTCGATCGGTCTCGGACCGCAGAGTCTTGCTGGGCTCTGGGACGACGAACTCATTGCGACGTCTCGCATTCCTCGTGATAAGGTACTAGTGCAGCAACTAATCAACCGCGGGGGCTACGGCGAAGTCTACTACGGACTGTACAACGGCCAGCGTGTGGCCCTGAAGACGCTTCTACCCGAGCTCCGCAAGAGTATCAAACATGTGAACCAGCTCCTGGATGAAGTGAGGTTGTTGGCGATGCTTGACCACCCTCGCGTCGTTCATTTCGTCGGGATCGCGTGGGATTCCCTCTCAGATCTCTGCATAGTGTTAGAGTACATGGAAGGTGGCGATTTGCGGGCGTTGCTTGCGTCTTACGAGGCACAAGGCCATGACGTTGGCTTCGATCATACCAAGGTGACCATAGCACTCCACGTTGCGCACGCCCTCACCTATCTCCACTCACTGGATCCTCCAGTCCTCCACCGGGACCTGAAGTCCAAGAACGTCCTCCTCACCTCGGATTTGCAAGCGAAGATCACGGATTTCGGGATTTCTCGTGAGCGCGCTGACAAAACCATGACTGCCGGGGTGGGAACGTCGTTGTGGATGGCTCCTGAAGTCATGATGGGGGAGAGATATGACGATAAGGCCGACATGTTCTCGTTCGGTGTGATGCTGTCTGAGCTGGACCTACACACGTTACCGTATTCGCACGCGAAACACAACTTGAGTTCGTCGGGTCATAAGATGCCGGATACGACTATTCTACAGAGGGTAGCTTTGGGGAAGATCCGCGTCGAGTTTTCCCCCGGGGCTCTCGATTCGATGGTGGCGTTGGCCAACTCATGCGTCGCGCTTGACCCCAAGTATCGCCCGACGGCTGCCGAAGCGCTATACCATTTGCAAACAGTTTTGCGAGAACTGTAACATGCTAGCATCCGTTTAAACTAATACTAGCTTGAACATCCATTTTATAGCGCTGCGCAACAGGTATGATGAGCTGGAATGTACATGTAGAATACCATACTGAACGACAACGCGGCATGCGAATTGCACTATAAGTTATAGCCTACTAGTAGTACGCACCAGGAATCTTTCACTATCCCTTGTAATGCAGGAGCCCGTGCAAATGGTGGACAAAGGGAATCACTTGTCCATACACGGTAGGTCCTACAATTCCTTGTTCCCTTCACCAGACTGCAAACTGTGCCTAATTCTGTGCAACGTTGCGGGAGCTGCAGGACGCGATGCTGAGACTTTTGGGTTCGTTCCCTCTTGGAGGACCTCGAGGCACGAAGACACTCCTTGGGCATGTAGCACAAGTGAAGCTGCCTGGTGACGTCAATAATCGATCCCAGACTCTCTCGCCTCAACCATGTCGATCTCCGTGACTCAAGTAATGGTTCTTCTGGTGACGGTCATTTACATCACTGCCCCTGCAATCGCCATGGATGCGATGCAAGTTTTCTCCCGTGGAGTATGTGTTGGTGCACCCAATACTCTGATCATGAAGAACTCGGAGGACTGTGAAGATAACACGTGTAAGCGCCGAGAATTTGGCGATGACCCGTACAATGTCTCGGTCAATTGCAATATATCGGACCGATTCGACCATGCCGCTGAGGTCTTTACTTACAACTACGTAGTCATCGAGTACTACGACCAGAACACAAGCTGCAATAGTGACAATCTCACTGAGACCGACGTGTATCCAGGGACCCGAGACTGCCAAGTTGCCTCAATCAACGGCACATCGTCTGTCATGGTTTATCTCTACACGAACGGCTCGGTGGATGTGTTCTTCTTCAAAGACGATGTCTGTGGTGGCAATAGCAACTTCAATTTTACCTTGAGTGGTGCTGAAGTCGCCAATGGTGACTGTATCAAGGGAGGGTACAAGGTGTACACTAGCTACAGCCTCAGTGCTACCAGTAGCTCGAGTTCGGGCAACACTGCGGTCTCGCAACTAGGGCGGAATGCCTCCAGTTCAAGCGGTATCATCGCCAGCTCCAGTAGCAACAAAGGCGCAGTCCCGGTCACAACCTCTAAAGGATCAGGTGTGAACATCGGAGCCATTGCTGGCGTCGTCGCAGGAGTGATCGTTGCTGTGTTGCTCATTGTTATTGGGTTTCTATGGTACCGTCGTCGATCTAAGAGAGCAAAGGGATCACCATCGGGTGGCAACAAAGTCACAGACGGTTATGCTACAGTCACCTCCCCGACAACGGGCCAAAAGAGCACGGATTCTGACATTACGGATTTCTCCAGCTCACTCGGCTTGGGGCCTCGCAGCTTGGCTGGCCTTTGGGATGACGAAGCCATCGCAACAGCCCGTATTCCACGTGAAAAATTGGAGATACAGCAGTTGATCAGTCGAGGGGGCTACGGAGAGATTTACTTTGGATTCTTCATCGGCAAATGTGTAGCGATCAAGACGCTACTTCCAGAACTTCGTAAGAGCGTCAAACACGTCAACGGCTTTCTTGATGAAGTGCGGCTTTTGGCACGACTCGATCACCCGCGTATCGTGCAATTTGTTGGTATAGCCTGGAATACTCTCGCTGATTTGTGTTTTGTGCTGGAATACATGGAAGGCGGCGATCTCCATGCTCTTCTCGCGACTTACGAGGCACAAAACTTTGATACTGGCTTTGACAAGAGCAAAGTCACTATCGCACTCCACGTAGCTCATGGATTGACCTACTTGCATTCCCTCGACCCCCCAGTGCTGCACCGTGATCTTAAGTCCAAGAATATTCTCCTGAGCTCCGAGTTGGAGGCGAAAATTACGGATTTTGGCACTTCTCGCGAGCGTGGGGAAAGAACGATGACGGCAGGGGTCGGAACTTCACTGTGGATGGCTCCTGAGGTCATGTTGGGCCAGCGGTACGATCACAAAAGTGACATATTCTCGTTTGGTGTCGTGCTCTCGGAGTTGGACCAGCACAAGCTGCCGTACTCGCACGCAAAAGGTCGAAAACTCCCAGACACGGCACTTTTGCAGATGGTGGCATTGGGCACAATTAGCGTGGAGTTTTCGTCTGGAACATTGGAATCGATGGTACAATTGGGTAAATCTTGCGTAGCTGTGGATCCTGACGATCGCCCGACCGCCGCAGAAGCACTGTACCAATTGCAACTGATCCTAAGGCAGGAGCTATGAGGCGAAGGATTCTTGGCACTGAGGTACTAGCTCGGCGATGTTGATTGTTCTACCGCTGTTTCCAGCCTACAAAGTGGAGTCATCATCAATTTTGACGATCCTATTCGTTTGCATCACGATGACTAATACAAACTCGTGGAAAATGGCAACTTTTGGTTTTGCATCTCAAACCTTGAAAAATCAAAAGCATATTTTTTTATTGTAACAATTACCACCGAGTCGTGGAGTCGTGCAGCATTCGCTGGGGAGGCAGACGTTGGTGTCCACGTGTCGATAAATATTGAGAGCTCCCTCCCCCTTCGGCCTTTCAGCAGTCGACGTCTTGGCAAAGAGCTCACACGTCCGTCTCACGCGCGCCTTACCACGTCGCAAATCTCTAGAAAAGCCTCGCTGGTTGGTTGGCCTCCTGCTTCTCGCGAATGCGGACCTCGAGTTTGCGACTGCTGTCCATAATATCCTCGATACTAGCAATGCAGTTCTTTATCTGACCAAAATAGTGGCGCTCCGGCGTCGACGAGAAGTCGGACCCACTGCCGGTCGAGTCTCTGCCTCCTTCCTTGAGAGCCAGAAGATCCGAATCCCCACGAGACCCGAACATGACGCGTTTCATGTGCTGCGAGTTCAACGACATACTGACAGGAATCGTCTTGACCGGCAACACGGGCGACAGCGGCGCCGACAGTGGCCCATCTCGCATCTCCGCGTCGTCAGCCGCGGGGTTGCTGGAGCTCTGCGAGTCCTGGCGGAGAACGGTGAGGTTCAGTCTATTGTGCTCCTCTGGACTCGGCTCTTCCTCGTCCGTAAGCGAATCTTGCGGCTGTTTCTCCTTCTCAACGGCAGCAGAGTCGGGCAAACTTTCCTCCTCCACTATCGCCTTGTGGAGGGAACTTTTGCTTGCAATTTCGGATGTGGGTTCCAGGAAACTGGTGCTGGGACGCCTGGAGCTGAGTGCACTATTGATAACTCGGTCTTCCTCCTCCTTGGGCGCGTATTCCCCGACCTGCAGCAGCTTCAGGAGTCTCTCTTGGCTACGAGGCGTCATTGGACGCGTGCAGACCTGCTGCATGTACTCATTGAGTATCACTTGACGCGCTTCAACGGTCTCGGGCTGCAGTGAAGCCTTGCGACTCCACCAAAGCTTGGGCGGTAACTTTACGGAGATACGCGGCGCTTGCGGTGCCAGCTTCAGCCTCTTGCCGAAGTGCGAGAACTGGCGGAAACGGATAAGGCGGTGGTAGCACAGCCCGTCGTAGTTCACGGATGTTCGGTAGACTGTGTAGGCCAATGGAGAGTCCGGGTGGCGCGTCTGGGAGCCAATCACAGCCACGCGTAGCTGTCCAGACATGTTGCAGTACCTGGTCGACTGGTTTGGAGAGTGGCCAGAGCCCCACAAGCAGCGCAGACAGCGGGAGAAGATGCCGCACAACACGATGAATTCTAACTTCGGACTTGAGTGCGCCGTCGCAAATGGCAGAATGAGGGCGTTGGGATGGTACAGATGTTCGAGGGAAAATAAAAGATGTTTACCTTACAATTTTCCAGGTATTTTCCAAACTTACCACCAAATGTACTGATATTGGATTAGTAAAAGTACCAAGTGAATTCGATGATGTTCTCCAATGGGTGTACCAGTGGCAATACAAGCATGAAATCATTAATTTAAGTGTAATAATTCGATTTGAGAAACGCTCAAACAGCCTTCTCTTGGCACATAGGGCCGGGATACAATGAAGTGCTCGGTGTTCACGTGGCCTCACCGAGTTTTTCAGAATCCAGTTGCCGTGTAATAAGTATGGTCTGCAATGTGAATCTGCAAAATCTTCCTAAAGCAAAGAAAAAAGCGTAAGTTCACGTATATCATTACCTCTGATCGAATGTGACTCACAATTTGTGAGTCACAAGGGATATACAGATGGGGTGTCTCAACTTGAAACATGGTCGCACGTAGGTACAATTGTCAAAAAGGTTGCAAAGTAGAAACCACTACTTAAAGAGCAACTTGGCGAGTTGCAACATTAGAGCTCTGTTCTCAGAATTTGGATATTTTACCGCACCATACAGTTGGACTCCAACTTGGAGATCGTTTGGAATGTCGACGGATGTTGTTGCTCCTCGCTATGCCGAAGGGCCCGTCAAACAGCAAGAGTGCAGGGTGGACGTCGGCAGGGCAACGCCTGTGCAGTATGTACATGTACTGTTAACTGGCTCGGAGCGTGAATCGTGCAGTTGGAGATCAGTCATCCGCCAAAATCGAAATTGCTAGTACGATGGCAATGTCATTGCCTAATGATTCAGCCGCCTATCGGTGCAGGAAAGGCTCAAGCATTTTGCAATCAGCAACTTGTCTGGTCCTATGCTTCCTCTCTAGTGTTGCCACAATCGTTCAAGCTGAAGTTCAGCCTACCGAGCCAAAGAAATAAAACTCGTAGAAAGCCGCGTTGAAATGAGATCAAGCCTGTATCTGATAAAGGCTGTATGTCTGGACTCGGGCCGCTGGAGTACATGCACCGCTGTGTCGTCCATGTTGGCAGAACCAACACAAAGAAGTCGCCTACAGCGGACACGTACATTTCGACGACGCTTCCCTCCTGATTCTAACCAACGCACGTCACTCTTGTCAAATGCCTGAAGCACATGCCCGGTGGGCTGCCCACCGCAATTCTAGGGTGACAACAGCATGAATTCCGTGGCGTACGATGGTACCGCAAATTGTATCTTGATGGAAATTGTCGTGCTCAAGCCAACAAACGAGGAAAGCATTTCGATTGAAGTGTAATATTGCAAGCAGAACTAGAGACAACGACGAGTGGCTGCCATTGCAACTTGCCATGGGATCACGAAGCCGGTTTATTTTCGCCTCAACCGACCAGCCCGGTAACCCAAAGATTCTGGGCTCGAAGATGCGCTCCACAATCTGCAAAAGTTTACGAAATGTTATCAATGTTACGGGCTTGTTCAACAATAAACAAACGTAGGAACCCTTCATGGACTCACTTTCATAGGATCAAAACGGTTAAACATTGTTGAAGTTGCACTACTTGTACTTTGCTAGGGGTTTCTTGACATGGACAATCTCATCACTCGTTACTTGGTGGTTCATAGAAATTCGCTATCACTATCTTCCTGGATGGTGCTCTGCGTCATCTTCTCGCTTGCCAGGAAGCTCAGGTGTTGCAACATGCCAATGTGCTCCTGGTCCGCCTCCCTTCTCGGCTTGGTGTCCAGCACAGCCACTGTGCCAAGTGCGTGTCCGTCGCGCGAGAAGATGGTCGCGCCGGCGTAGTACCGGATCTTGACGGCTCCCTTGTCGCCCTTGACCATCGGATTCTCGCGGAAACGCTCGTCATTCTTGGTGTCCAACACCACCAACACACTCGGTTGACAAATAGTGTGTGCGCAGAACGAAAGTTCACGTGGCAGTGTCGTGTGCGCCATGCCGATATTTGCCACCAGCAGTTGCTCTTCGTCCTCGATGATACTAACATACGCAATCGGACATTTCATCGTCTTGGCGGCAACTTCACAGTACATGTTGAACTTGCCAGATAGCCCAAGTTCGCGGATGTTGAGCTCGCGTAGTACAGTCAATCGTTCCTCTTCGTCCACAGGGTAGGGCGGTTCCGGCCACGGGTTGAGCCACATGCCACTGCTGAGTGTACTGCTCCGGTTGCGGTCCGGAGCGGAGCCATTCGACGTCTTGCGACTGGAGTTGGACGAGTGAGCACTACCGCCGCCAGGACGTAGGAAACCCGTGGATCCAGCCGATGTGGGGCTGTCCAGCGAATGGAACGCTACACAGGACACACAAACACGCATGGACCGGGACTGGATCCGGTGATACAACGAGCAGCTGTTGCAGATAACCTCGCCACACGCTCTGCAGTGGTGTTTGCGCTTGAACATGTTGAAGCGCTTGTTGCAGATATGACAACTGAAGCGGTCTTCGTCATTGACCCAAGACGTATGTTGGATGACATCCAGTCTCGGGAGCGCCACAGCACGAGACGACCGAGTGTTACGGAACGAGGACTTCCGTGAGGGCAAGCGTGACCTCGATCCCGGTGTGTGGACCAATTGGCCTTGACTACCGTGAGTGTTGTGCATCTGGGACGCTCGGAATCCGCCCATGGGGGTGATGGAGTCAATCGACTGGGACTTCCTAAGAGAGACGCGGTGAGACGCACGAGGCATCAATTGACTGCTCTGTTCGTCCACAGTGTTGAGGTTGTGCTTGGGGAAGTTGTCGTTATACGTGAACATATCATCCGAGTAGTCCGACGACACATCCGAGAAACCAGAACCTTCGATATCGTTGGAATGCGACGTAACGGACCGCGGAGACGAGTCCGAAGACGCCGTGGAGCTCTCCGTGTACTGCGTCACAGCCTGCATCTGCTGCTCGCGCTTCAAATTCGCCAGTTTCCTCGCCTTATCAGCCTCTGTACGTTTAGCACGCATTCGTCGACGGTATCTGAAGCGGCATTGCAACAACCGTACAACCGCGAGAAAGCACACGAACTTCTTACGCTGCACCACCGTCCGGATAAATCCCTGTACCTTGCCTGCATTCCTCTTCCGGGTCATCATAATCTGCCGTCGACGACGCAATTTCTGCTGTTTCTTGTATCGGAATCGAATCTGAAATGTCTTCACAGCATGAAGGTATTTCAAGTAGCGCGCACGGGCAGTCACACACAAGACAGCGTAGAAAATCTTGATCATGTGACGATGTAGACGCTGGGAGCGCATTTCCTCGAGGAATTCGTACGTCGGCTTCTTCATGAACATTTTCGTGAACCCCATCTGGATGCCCACTGAGATACACTTGGTCGTGAACTGGCCTTGATCTGGTCGTTCACAGGCGCCTTGAGGGTTCGCATCGTTCTCCTTGGGGATCACATCCAGCAGCTCCTTCAGTAGCTCCTTAGCTTCACTACTAATGACAGCCATGCCCTCGTCCGAGTCCGTATCGGGCAGTCCAAAGGAAGTTCCCTGTTTCTTAGCTAGCAGCGGATTCTTGGACCTCTTTAAACTGAAATATCTGGCGACGAACACATCGTGTGGTAAGCGAATCGGATACCCTGCTCTGGCCACACGAACAGCCTCCATCACACCGTTGCAACGCAGTTGGTTCAGCACACGTTCACGCTCGTAAATCCCTGCTTTGCACAGCTCATTGGGCTTGAGACAACGTACGTAGTGCGGGTTGGTGCTTTGCAACGTTTCCAGCAACGTTGTCAACTGCTCCTTGAACTGAAGACCAACACTCGCGCCTCGGTTCTTGCTGGTTTGTGCACGTTGACGCGGAGAAGACTTGGCACGGTCACGAGAACCACCCAAGCCTTCACACAAGGTGCGAGTAAAGCTGTCTTCTCGTGTGGAATACACCAGCATATCCACTGCTTCTTGGTGCAGAACATCCTTGTTCTTCTCCAAAAATCCATCGGACGAGTACTCCACGTGGCCTGCATAGTGTACAATAGTGAACAGGCCCCGTGCACGTTGAATTCTGGAAGCCTCGAAGCGGGGGTGGCTGCCACAGGCGCGATAAAGCTTGGACGCTAACGTCGTGTCACTTCCTTTAGGCATCACACACTCCTCGTCAATAAGCGACAGAATGCCCGTCGGTCGCTGCGAAATGAGGTTCACGCAGTCCTGGTTATCGCAGAACTCAATGTACTTCCAGTCGACACCTTGCGACTCATACTCGCGCTGTTCGGCCTTGAAAACGTAGTCGTTAAACTGTTGCTGTAGCGTCTCGTTGGCAAAGTTGATACAAAGCTGCTCGAACGAGTTCTTCGGGAACACTTCGAAGCCGAAAATGTCGAGAATGCCTATGAAATGCAGTCCGCCCTTGGCTTTCTCGCTGTCATCCATTCGAAGGAAGTGGTTGATCTTCTTCACCATCCAGTCGAACAAACGTCCATACAAAGCCTTGGCCAGCGCGTCACGTGCGTTGTTAGCCTGCGCTGCCGACAGCTTCATACTCACGAAATCAGTACCGGCTCGGATACGACGCACACTCAGCGCTCGCTCCAGTTTAGTCGCGTCCACAGCCATCAGCGTAGCTGCTGCGTCACGAGACCAGATGCAACTTGGAGCCAAGTCGGATTTACCCGCTCCAGGCCCCATTGATTGTCCTAATCTGTCGCTGTTCTCGTCGTGCTCAAATGATAAATTCCCAATGTGCATGAGCGCCGCGAGGATGTCGAAAATACCTGCACGTTCCGCCTGTGTGAAGCCCACAATGTCCATAGCGTCCATGACTCGTCGGAACATATCCGAGTCTTTTACTCCATCACGACGTTCATAACACTCGCTCTGGTTTAAATACCGATAATGAAGGAACTGGCGCGTGGCGTCTGTGACTTCCCCGTGATCTCCTGGAGGCATCAGATGGCCCTTTGGAGGATCCAGGAACCAGCGCTTACGAGCTGCTGGGGCTGCGCCGATCGCCATTTCGTAAAAGATGTGGTAATTCCTCTCGCCCTTGGACTGCGACACCAGACGCACTTTTTCGAGCAAATATGTCTGGATACTGGCACCTGTGAGTCTGCCGCCGCTAGTGAAGTGCAGCTTGATAAATTTGCCGAATCGACTCGAGTTATCGTTGCGAAGAGTGCGTGCGTTACCGAAAGACTCGAGCAGAATATTGGTCTGCAACACTTTGGCGGCGATGCCTTCTGGGATTTTGCCAGCAACAGACGCTGCTAGATTATTCGCGCCTGCTTGTGCGAGGTACTCCATGAGGAATTTGGTGCTCTCGGTCTTGCCACTGCCACTCTCTCCACTCACGAGGATACTCTGATCGCTCATAACGCCGTTTAGTCCTAACATCATGGCCTTGTAGGCCTCTCCGGCCACTTGATAGATATGCGGAGGCATGGGGTCGCTGCGCATCGAGGAGCTCCTGGACTCGTAAGACAACAAATACTTGGCCAATGTGTCTTTACTGTAGACATTGGCGATCTTCTGGAAGGGGTTTACAGCCAGTAGAATGGCTCCTGTGTTGGTGTAGATCTTGTGCTCAGCGAAGCGCGTCTCGAGCGCCGAAAGGATCGTCGTCTCGTCTAGCTCGATGAGTTGGGTAAGGTCATCCACATCGAAGCGCTGGCCCTGACCGGGAGTGAGCAGACGCACATCAGGCGCGTCCTGGTTCACATCGGCCGGTACGCCTCGCTCCGCCACGCTGCCGTCCTCGAATTTGACGACGATCACGGCGCCCGACGCCTCGATGGGACTCACATAGCGGTCGATGACCTGTGCGCGTCGCCATTTCTGCGGAGCTACCTGCACTTCCACCTCTGCGCCCACGTCCATGGTCGAATTGGACACTGCGCCTCGGTGGTGCCTCTTGCCGCCTACTACTGGATGGGAAGGTGCTCGGGCTTCTTCGTGCACTCTGCCGGGCGGGCCGTTATTGTGTGAGGGAGTCAGTCGGCGCACCTCGATCGCATCGAGCAGTAAAGCTGCCCGGCCCACAACCCCACACGATCAGGTGGGGACGGTGGTACCCTCATACTTTACCCCTATATGCTACGAATACCTCCTAAACCAACAGCTCTCTGACTATTCAGTTTGTACAGGTTTTACTGCTAGTCGGCATTTAAACAGCTTAACCTTCTTGACTTTATGTGTCTGAGGAATGAGTAGCCGTTTAAAATGAATGTGAAGCGTGGGGTAAAGTTTTGTCGTTCTATAGAGCATAGTAAAAGCAAGAGGTCGTAGTTCAGTCTATGCGCGGGACCAGACGGCGTACTGTACCGAAACGAACTGTCTCCTGCGCCGGCAACAGAGGACGCGGTGCCTCCTGCACTTGGAGTGGAGATTTGAAGAAACTGCCACTCTACTCTTTGAGCAGTCCAGACGGAGAAGAAGAAGTTGGTCTGGGCGTGTGTCGGGCGTTGCAATCTCCACTTGCTGGCTGGCAGCGTGGTAACAAATGCACTGCCGCTAATTGGAGTATCCGAAGTGCAGGTTGCACCCGTGTCTAACGCAACGGTGAAAGGCATTATAGCGTGTACTTCGAAGTAATATACTGGAGCCGGTTGGGCTGGTGCCATTCAGCGACGTTCTGAAACGGCCCATTGAATGGCGTCAAGTGCTTGTCACCTGCAGGGTCATAGCAAAAGACTACTCACTGTAGACGACAGCCAGGAAGCCTTTCATGCTCCACAGCGCTCTACATGCACAACGTGCGTCTACTGCGTTGGTCGTCTAGCAAAATCCAGACCCGAATTTTGGCTCGCAAAACGTTGGCAAGCAGCACATCGTTGACAACTTGTTGTGTGTACGATACATTTGCAGAAAGGTCATTCATTGCCAGCATTGCAGAGATTTGCCTACAACTTGGCTACACGAATGAATTTGCCTGCCTTGGCTGTAGAGTCCTGGAGTTCATGGTATCCGAACTCCGAGCATGAGATCCGATGTGCCTCCTGCAGATCCTACAGTATCCATAGGCACGGGAGAGCACTAATACATTCTCTTCAACGTCACCGTAGATGCTCCAGCCTTGCGTCTTTACGTGATCTACTAGAGTACTTCAGAAGTATTAGAGAGAGGATCGGGGACTCAACTATTTGCATGGTGTTGCATTCCTATCCACGAGACCACAGCCTCCTCTATCCTATTGATGCGTTTTGTTCGTCTTCTTCTTCTTCTTTCCACGGTTCAGAAGCTCTTTCTCGCGCGGAACCAGTCGCAACTCGCGGACTGTCGTCAAGAAGGCGAAAAGTAGGGAGCCCAGCGTCTCGTGCGTCAATACGCGAACGTCGCCGTCTCGTCGATGATTTTTCGACGGACGCTCGATGCCGTTTGTGCCGCTACCTAAACATGATGAAGACGACGTATTCACGATCACTTGGCCGTCTGCTTGTACTACTTTAGTCACCACGAGGACATTCGAGTGGTGGTCTACTCGGAACTCTGCTTTGCTGTGATATACATCACAACTGAACGTCAGCAATTCGACCCACTGGCTTTATGTTTTATCAATGACGGCACACTTACACAACTTGCAATAACACTTGCACACTGTGTAGCTCTGCAGCTGTCATTGGTGCTGGCTGGAGTAAAATGCTGGATAAATAGAGGGCGAACTGCCCGATGGAGTCTACCGGTGGCTCATCTGAATCAGCAGTCCATGCTGTGCTCTTGTTGCGTCGCTCGCGATGGTATTTCTGAATGAGAACGAAGAGAAACGTCGGGAATGGTCGGTGAGTCTTCGCCTCAAACTCTGCTTCTACTGCGCAGTACATACAAGTGAGTAAATGTCCACGATTTCGATAAATCAAATGGCAACGAACCTGCATCGTTGATATCTGCTAGTGTAGGTGGGGTCATTGCTCCCAAAGCCGCCATGTCCCTCTGTACACGGTCGCAGATCTCTTGCATCGCTGTCTTCAATTGTGCAAACGTCACCACATACTGCCTCGCCAGCCACTGGAAATGGAAAGCCTGCCGCCTCACTTGGTCCTCTGGATCTAAGCCCTCCATCCCCACTAAACTGTTCCGACGGCGATTAGAGAGGAACTCGAAGTGCGAAGGATCATCCTCGAGCTTTTTAACCCCTGGAAAGCGATACCTCATCACCTCGGTTGGTAGTGATCGGAACGTCTCATCCACCGCTTCGTATCGCGCTTCCAGTCCTTCTGCTATTATCCTCAATCTGTTCACATCCAGCGAACTGAAGCGCGCTCCCTTCCGCGCCCCACACATCATCAGAATCTGCAAAAATCAACACACCAAAAAGTCAGTTATTTATCCCGTTTCAGTAAATAAAAAAGTAGTTGGCAATTACGTCGTTGAGCACGTGGAGATAAATCCTCTCGGTGGCGCTGCTGAGGTTCAACGTCTCGCATTCCTCCGGTGTGGGCTTGTGGTAGCGCAAACCGTCGATGAAGCGCAGCATCTGCGTCGGTGGCTTCACATTATACGCCGCGTCGTCGAAATTCTGCAATAAGCAGCAACAATCGTCAATAATGTGAAGACGCAGTATCTATAATATTGACAGCCGCACCTCGAAAATAGGCTTCTTGACAACTTTGCGCAGTGCCACGTCGGGCAGCACGAAGCGTCCACTGCCAGTGGTGGTAGCTCCTGCCAGCTGGAACACAGAGGCTGGACGTGGCGCTGGAGCTGGGAAGCTCACATTGATGTCGACGGACCCGAGAGCTGCCGGTGGCTCGGCGTTCGAGCCGCTCGTGTGCGCCATCATCGCAAGTGAAGTTCTCCACTGTTCAGTTTTGTATCAGGATGAGGCCTAGCCCGCACCTTGCATCTGTTGGCTATAAATAGACTTTGAGGTGATGTTATTGGACAATATCGTAATTTATCAGTCAAAATATTGACCAATGTACGACGAAGTATCCAGCAGCTTCAATTACGATGGTGGGCAAGACGCTGATCGTCGGGGGCGGCTTGACGGGCGCCGCTCTGGCGCGATTGCTACAGGAGGCCAAGGCGGCAGCGACTTATGCGTCGGAAGTCGTAGTATGGGACCGCAACAGTATCCTCGGAGGGCGCGCAATGGCCAGGTGAAGCTCTGTTAAGCACACTGTAGGCTGTGACACGAACTGACATGTGGTTAAGATCGTTTCCGAAGCAACGAGAGGTCCACGTGGACATGGGGGCGCAGTATTGGACGCCGAAGTCCGATCTAAACGACGACTTCCGCCAAAAGCTGACACAGAGTGGCCGTTTGGTGCCATTCGCCGAGAACGAGATCACCCAGGATCCGTACAAAGGAACAGTCAAGACGCACTTGGTTTCTCCTGATGGCAAAGGGTTTCGAGCGATGGTGGAGCACTTATTGGAGGGTAGGTTGGCTGTGAGGGACATTAGTGGGAAATGAGGGAATGACTCGTCATGCTTGTGATGCCATTAGGGACGGAGACCAAGCTGTCGACGCATTTGGAGAGCTTCCAGGTACTGGACGATAAACGCATCCAAGTTACGACCGACGAAGGCAAAGAGGAGATTGTGAACGAATTGGTGTTGACGTGCCCCATCCCTAATGTAAGATCATTGCGCTGAGATTTCTTTCGTGTCGTCCCAAAGCTCAGTTGACACGTTTGACCAGGTACTGTCAGTTATCAAGAAGAGCAGCTCGTTCCACGTTGCCCCAGAGATTCTTCGTGCATTGGAGAGTGTGACGTACTCGCAACGCTTTGCTGCAGCCTACGTTTTCGACGAAAAAGCGGTTCCGGCAGTACAGGAGTTGGGGTGGACGGCCAAGTACGTCCCTGGAGACGAGAGCGACATCATCCGCTTCGTGTGTTGGGACCACCTGAAGAAGAAACAAGATGAAAACTCCCCGCCGACGCTGATTGTGCACACCTCGGTGGGGTTTGGGGCCACGTTCATGGACGACACTCGCCATAATGACGAGATCCTTGCCCTCATTACCAAGTCGTTACGTGAGGTCTTGCCATCGCTTCCAGCTGAGCAGGATGCGCGTCTCCATCGCTGGCGGTACGTATAATATATTTCTGTGGTAGCGTCACATGTTGTCGGCTTACAATAAGCTCATTATTCATTCGTCAGTATCTCTCAAGTAACCGTGCCGTATCACGACCGGAACGGTGCAATGGGCGAGGATCCACCATCAGCTCTCGTGCTTAGCGCCAACCCACGCATCATCGTGGCCGGTGACAGCTTTCTCGGCTCAGGTTTTGATAATTGCCTGTTGTCTGCCAAGGCGGTTGCCAATTTGTTGCAAAGCAAAAACGCGCTTTGATATGAAGACGATAATTGTTACTGTTAAACTGAAGCCAGGTTGCATGTGTAACAACAAGAATAATACATGTAACAGCAATAAGAATACTTGTAGCGATCACTTTCAGCTGAGAAGGATGCGTACTACTAATACATCATTTATGGTACGGCTGTTGCTGTCGATCACCCGTATCCGTGTTCACATGTCAAGCAAGTGGTCGAGCCCAACCATGATCCAAGATGTGCAGACAAGTTATTGACTTTCGTGCTCAGTCAACCTCTATCATGGCCGGCCACGGTTTCTACTTTGACAATTGACTGCCAAGGCCGCAATCTGTTGCAAAGCTACAAAATGTCAAAAGTGAAGGAAGCCACGTCAATCCAAATCGATTTTCTCAAACAAGAAGTTCCTCTTGCTGTCGCATACCAGTGAATGCGAGAATGCACGTCACTCTCCACTCCATCACTGGATACACAGAGTTGTAGACTTTCATTCATCAATTACTAGCGAGAAAAAGTTTAGCCACATTCATCGGAAAACTTACAACTTGGTGTACAAGTCGTGTACAAGTTCGGCCACAGTGAAACCCCGTCTCCCAATCCCTGATTTGTGGGCATTTCCTTATCCACACTCGACGCCGTCAGTACAGTCGGCTATGGATCTCCCGGAGCTCAAGGGTAGGCTGCCTCACTCTGCTGCTTACTTAACTATGTTTTCAACTAGCCAAGACACTAACGCTGCATCTGCCAGGTTATTTACGCAAGAAATCGCGTCACGATCGCTGGCAGCGCCGTTATTTCGAGGCCACCACACACTACTTGACCTACTATAAGGTAGATTGTCTGCCAATAAATGCGTTTTGCTGCAATACTGACCGCTATAACTCTTCTCATTGACCACAGAGCCGAGAGAGCGAGAAGTTACTGGCATGTATCGACCTATGGCGCACTCAGACCATCGATTTTAACCCCGCGGACGGCGACAAACTCGAGTTCTCCATCGCTATCGGCGAGCAGTCGTATCTGCTCAAAGCCGACAGTCAAGACGACGCTGCGCGATGGGTCAAAGGGCTCCAGGCACGGCAGTATCGACCAGAAGGCACGCCCTCCGAGGTTTTCAGTCTACGCAGCGAGCATATGGACGCCGAGAGCGACGCGTCTAGCGAATATGGCGGTCGACGTCCTCGAAATGCGTCGTCGGACTCAGGCAGTCACCGCTCGTCCTTGTCCATGTCTTACGTCGAGACGCAGAATCCTGTGGTCCCAAATGCCGCTGCCATTGCCAGACTCTCGCTGTCTCACGCTGACGCTCCGAATCCTGTGGTTCCGAACGCCAATTTGATCGCTCGCGCGTCGTTCTCACATGCGGAAGCTACGAACCCAGTGGTCCCGAGTGCTACTGCTAATGCAACGACAGGAGCGAAGTATCCTATGGTGAATACCAACCAGCAGGTCACGCGATCTACAGTAGCGACAACAGCTGCAGTCAAGACAGCGGACGAAGAGAATGCGGCCAATGCACAGTGCTGTGCACCATGCGTGATCATGTAAAATGCGACGACGAGATGCGATACTAGCTCTTCGTTTTTTTCTTTCAACGGCGATGCAGGCGGACAAATGATGAAACAAACGCCTTCGAGCTACTTGAATGCTTCCTGTCCTTTCCTGCCTGCAGAGCTGCCTTTTGTAGACCGTACGAACACCACCAGGCCGATGTCTCCGGCATGTGGAGACTTCATGGCTATACAAGATACTACAATGGTACTAACGGAGACCGTTATGTGGAGAGTATGAGGTCTTCGTCAACATTAGAGAAAAATAGCTTCGGACACTACTCAAGCCAAGGTTTAAGTCTAGAAGTAGCGGCAGTTGGCACAACAAGAGCAAGTAGCCCCGAGCTTTTCCTTACACAATTGATAACAGCACGCGCGTTCAACCTGGACATTCGTAGTTTGTGATCCTAATTAGAGGTCTTTAGCAATCTTACAGTTTGTTCTGTTTTCGATCGAAAGTTCAGGCAACCGGATAATACGAAAAACGTGTTTAGCTACTTTATTTTAGTTCGGTTTGTGCCAGATGCTGAAGATGCTAAAGATAGCATCACCCTTCAGCCAAGAAAAAACTCACTTTTCCACACATACCGCAGAGCTGCGTATTTCACAAGATGGTGTTCCGGTTCACTACGATGGAAGATCTGGAGATGCTGCGGGAGCTGATTCGTCAGAAGCCATTTGCTGCGAAGCGCGGTTCGACACTGGAGATCTGGGATAGTGTTGCTGCAGCTTTAGGCTCCGCCTTGAAAAAGGAGATAAAAGTAAAGCAGATCCGCGACAGGTTAAATCTACTAAAAACTCGCTTCAAGGAAAAGGAGCAGCTATCGGCGCTGGCAAGTGGTGTTGAAGAGTCCATCCACGCGGTTAACGTCCAGACACACTACACAGACGTTGATGGGTTGATCCGGGAGTATACGCAGCTTGAACGGCTCCACCATGATACTAAAGCAGCTCAGAAAATTTCTAAAGAAAAGAAGGAGGAAGATCTGGCTAAGTGCGCTGCTGCTATAGTTGACGAAAGCCGTCGTCGTCGAGCCTACCGCGACGATACCTCTTTCTACAGTGACTCTGATGACTCCAGTGACGCTCAAAGTGTTGTGTCGGGGGCTGAAAGCACAGTATCAACCGGTTCTAGCAAGGCGAAACAACAAGGGGTTAAGCGCTCGAACGCGTACTTGACGGAAATCAAAAGACAAGACAAGAAGTACAAAGAGCAATTGGATTTAAAGCACCGTGAGCTCGAGCAGGGACAAAAACAATTTGAAGAAAGGCTGGAATTTGAGAAGAAACAAGCTGAAGACAGACTTCAATTTGAGCAACATATTCAACAAAGCAATCGGGAGATGATATTGGAGTGCGCTAAGATTTTTGGGGCTGCTTTGGCTAAGAAGTGATCACTAAGATGCCGACCCAAGATAATGATGTATATCTGGAGGAGACACACCGAAGTAGTCACTAGCTGTACTTCCACCTCTCATGCATGTGATGCAATTTGTCATCAATACACCAACTCGATACATCTGACCTACTGGCTGTGAGCCTGTTCTTAAACTTGACTTCATATCCAAAGCTTTCCAATAGTTCACGATTTGAGCGTAGGACCACTCCACGGAAACACGGATCTTACTCATAGCAGAGTTGATATGCCGCTGTTCACACGTTAAATTTCCAATCGCTCCTTCGAATGGGCTTATTAGTACATCATCACGTCCGTAGGCGCAGTCCCCAAAAATTCGAAACTCTCGAAAGCGTAAATCGTTTCGAATAATTGTACTTAGGTCGGATTCACGATACATTTTGACGTCGTGATTTCTTCCAGGGTACGGGCCATATAGATGTGAAATTAACCCATCAGGAGTGACTAGAGTTTGAAACTTCAGTGCGTGTTTACGCTTGTGTCCATTGTATACAGACTGCTGGTCCAGAAGTTTGTTTTTCTTTCGCCCTCGATGACCGTGTCGACGAGGCGTAGGCCGACATATACCTCTTACAGTACCGTCAATGAATGCCCAGATATTTGTGTATGGACTACCGACATCGAAAACAGCCCGTGCGTATTCAGAGAGTCGAGACGCAGCAATTTCATGATTCAGCAGAAGTAGATTGGCATATTGAGCTTCCAGTATGTCAAGCAGGTGGAGAAATATGTTCGACAGACCGCTAGGTGATCGCCCGAAAAAATCTCGCACATCCTCCCAACGTACAGGAGCTGCTAACTTGTACAGAACTACACAAAGAGCCTCAATACCAGTAGCTCTTGTCCTCTCGCGAGTAACGATATCACCAATATTCATCAGTTTTACAAGTGTACACAACTCCGACTTGTGGAATCGAAAGCGCCGTTTGCACACCGAGTCGGATAAGGCATTGAAGTTGAATGGTACTCGTAGTTGTTTTGAAGGGGCTGGTTGGCATACCAATTCTGCATGAATCATCGCTGCTTCAACGTAGAGATCTTCTTCCCGAGCAAGTTGCAGTCGCTGCAGTAAGTAGGCTGTTTTGTAGTGACGAGGGACGCCACGAGTGACTAATCGGATGAACGACGTGACCACGGAATCGGCCAGGGCTGCTTCAGACGATGAAGGCATTGTATTGTCTTGGTGCAGGCCGCAGAGGAGAATCAGAATTGCCCTTCGAACCTAACAGTTAGGTCGTCTGGTATAGAAGTTTAGCCGCGGCATAGATACCGTAAAATTTAGATCTGTAACCGTAATAAACTGCTCTTCTTTCCGGTTCCGATTTAAGTTAACGGTCGAAATTTCAGATTGTGGTGGGTTAAAGCAGATGGTTGTTCCGAAATGAAGTACTTTTCGGTTGTGCTAAAGACCTCTATTGTAGCGTAGGTAACTTTGCATGTACTGCTTCAAGATGGTCCAGTATCTCGATTCCAATTGGCTAATAAAAAGACTATTTTTCCACTTGGACAAATTCACTGCCAGCGCTTAGACGACCGACGCCAGCGCAGCCATGGGGAGCTCCGACGGTACGTCTCCCGCGTCTCCAAACTCTTGTCACTGCGCTCCACACCGTGTTTTAAACCTACTGCCCCCTTGTTCTGCCACTGCCAGAGGATGAGCGCAAGAAGCGCAGTATCAACGAGATGTTCGGCGACGAAGACTCGGACGACTCTGGAGACGAGCAGATCCCTCGCAGTACGTCTCTCTCTACACTCCACCCCCACTAATAGCCCGGCTTAAACTCAGCTATCTCCTTCTTTCTTAGCCACCACCACGACCACAGCCGACGCCTCTGGGTACTATCACCCGTCTACTATCTTCACGAGCAACTCTATCTAACATAACAATGCTATTACTACCAGTTTATTCGGCTCGGACTCGGAGAGTGACGACGAGGAGAAACCCGTCAAACGTCCAGCCTCTCCGCCCACTAAACGCGTCAAAAAAGAGGAGAAGCGTCGCGATGATGGAGACGAGTATGACTCTGGAGAGGAGGCTGTGGCAACCAAGGATGACGACGATTTCATCGACGGGGACGACGATCTCGCTGATGTACTGGGAGAATACGCTCAAGACCGTCAACAGTTCGACGACGAGCGTCCACTGGACGAGCAGGAGCCGACACAGGAGCAGAAGGACGATTTCTTCGACAGGACTCTCAAGTCTCTCAAGACTGGACGCTCTCGCTCCAAACTCAATCTGTCGCCACAGGAGATGGAGCAGATCACACAAGAAGTGCTCTATCGTATGGACAAGGCTTATGCTGATGACCTGGCGAGTATTGCGGAACGTCGACCGGCGCTCGAGAAGATCAAGTTTGTGGACAACGCGCTGCATATTCTACGCAAGATCCAGTTCCAACCTATGCTGTTGGATTTCGATCTGCTCACGGTATGCAATGTGCTGGGCTTTCAGGAATTGGGTGATGTTGACTGGGTTATTTTATAGATTGTGAAGAAGTGGATCCAGCCTCTGGACGACGGGACGCTGCCGAATGTTGGACTGCGCACCAAGATGCTGGAGATGGTCAGCAAAATGCCAGGTATTCTGTGGATAAATGATGGATATTGTTATTGTAAACACTAAGTTCTTTTGTGCAGTGTTTAAGGAACATCTGAAGCGCAGTGGCCTCGGAAAAGTGGTCATGATGTTGATGAAACACCCCCAGGAGGTAGGGAACGACAGATGCTATTTGTCGTGAAGATGTCTGGATGCTGATAGTATGTTGTGTGTGTTTTGTAGACGCTTGAGAACAAGGAGCTTTGCCGTAGTTTGGTGGAGCGTTGGAGTCGCGCTGTGTTCAACAAGACGCTGGACTTCTCCAAACTGGCGGAACTGGAAGCTGAGAAGGCCGAAAACGAGATTTATCGCCGTCGTGAGCGCGCGTATGTTTATGAAAAGTTTCCACTGCTTTTAGCTCTTTTTAACAAGATAAATGTGCCATATAGACGCAGACAGAAGAAGTCGAAGAACAAAGCGCGTGCTGCCGAACGTGATGGTAACGTGTTCAACGGCCGCACTGCTGATCCTGACGTGAAGCCAGACGTATCAGAACGTGCAGAGCTACCAGAGCAGTTGCATATCGATTTCTTGCTCCGTCCGCAGTCCAAGATCGACATGAACGCCGTGCAAGCCAAGAAAGTAGATCCGGATTCCCGCAAGGCGCGATTGGCCAAGCGGATGCAGGAGATCGCGAGGCCTGGCAAAAAGAGCAAGCGCGCTACTGGCGTCAGCATCGAAGGCAGATAAGTCATCCAATCAGCAGCCAGCGCTGATTCTGACAGGAATCGAGACGCATCCTGTAACTTTGTGCTGTAGCCATCAATTCTTTGCATTTTGCATACATCTCTCCTGTTTCGTGCTTTTTTGTTTTCTCTCATTCCCGTGATTACTAACTCGTTTTGATCAAAAGCTGCAAGGATGCCAGCGAAACACCCGAGAAACGTCAAGTTAGACTGTGGAGACGTTTTCAAGGACATGAAAATAGCAGCGTGAGGCGGATAGAGTCGCCGAGTTGGAATGGTGAGCAAGCAGATGCGCTGCCGTGACAAGACAGGAGACCAAGCTGTCGATGAAACACCAAATGAAGACTGTTCAGACTGCAAGAAGCAGCAGAGAAGAAGAAGCACAGTGGGTAAAGAAGAAGAAAGCGATAGTGATGAGGATGGCGAGGAGGACGACGACGATCTTCGGGTTTCCACTCGCTGTGGTAATCAACTTGAGCTAGCAGATTCGGAGCGTGTATTTCCTCCGCCGACAAGTCAAGTGGCGTCGCTTAATAAGGAGTTGAAGGCTCTTGAGACCCGATACTTCCGAACGCGACTGACATTAGAGAAAGTGAGAGAGAAGGTGAGGGACTTCGCAGGATCTTTAGTGTATCAGCTCGTACTAACCAGTGTAATCGACTTCCAGAATGATCAGCTTCGCAGCGAGATGAAGAAAGTGATTAAGCACAACACAAAGCACGAGCGGGAAATCTCCAAGCTACGACATCTCGTAAGAACTCAGTCATTTTGCTTTGATCCCCACTGCACTAACGTTGGCACTTAGATCGATCGCATCCAGTCTGAACGTAAACAACTCGAGCAACAAGCAATCAGCAATCGCGACTATGCGAAGAAGATCGAGCATCGTTTCTTCATGGGCACCAAGGGGAAGTCTCTAGTTCAGTGCAACCTCGAACTCAGTTCTCGTTTGCGCTTGTTAGAGACCACTCTCAAGAAGAAAGATGAAGGCCTAGAGAAGACTCAACAAGAGCGAGATGAAGCCAGAGACAAGCTTTCCATCGTGCAACGAGCTTTAGACACTCGCCTCGAGTCGTACGCGCTCAATGGCTGTCTACACACCGGTCTTCTATTCGAGATCTCAAAGCTACAAGACCATAGTGAAGCGCTAGCTCTGCAACTCGCTCAAGAACGGAAACTCGTGTCAACACTGCGAACACAACTTCAGATCTCCCAGAAGCGCGAAGAAGAGTTAGAAGATGCGCGTACAGTGCGTGAGTCATGGGTGGCTACACTGGAGAAGGAGCGTGTTGCTCTAGACGAGAAGATGGCGCAGCTATCAGGCGACGTACAGACTGCCGCGTGTGAGAAGGCGACACTACTGCGTTTTATCCACGAACAAGCGGAGACGAAGTTCCAGCTCGAAGCGCGACTTAAAGACGAGCAAGCTCAGCGTCGACAAGAAGCGGAGCGAGCACAGCACGCGTTGAAACTATGGGAAGAAGAGATACAGCAGCTTACCACGAGTGTCCAGACAGCACGACAGGAGACTCAACAGCAGCGAGACGAGTGTGAACGCGTTCAGGTTACGCTCCGAGAGCAACAAGAAGCCAACTCAACGCTGCGATCTCGAGAGAAAGAACTGGAACTGGAGCTGGAGCGACTACGAGATGCTCGTAAGAAGTTCGAGGACGATTTCTTGGCCGCTAAAGATGTATGTCGGGAGCTGCAAGTCACAGTTGAACAGCATGAAGAAGGCGGCAGTAAGTTGCGCTTAGAGATCGAAGCATTGGAAAATGCTCGACGTGATTTACTTGGACAACTGGAGACGAAGCGATCGGAAGAGCAAGCACTGCGAGAAGCGATGGAAGGAGCACTACAGGATCTTGCAGCGTTGTCGAAGCAACGCAACGAAGCTGCCAAGGCCATGAGTGAAGCTGTGACTATCAGTGCGTCGTCGCTGGAAGAGCAGCAGGCTCTGGAGCATCAAGTGGAAGCCCAACGCTCACAGATTGAGAAGCTGAAAAACGCCAAGAACTTGTTGCAGAATGCCATGCTGGAACAACTTGCAGCTCTGCGCAAGCAACTGCATCTGGAGCGACGACAACGCATCGAAGCGGAGGCGCGACTCAAGCATGTGAAGCCTGCAGTCATAGCAGATACCCGTCCACCGACAGAAGACTCAAGAAGACCAGAGCCAGCGGACTGGGAGGCTCCACAACCATTGCCATCTCCTTCGCCCTCGCCACCTCCACTTCCTCCGTATCTGTCAACAAACCTGTCAGTGGCGTCGTCATCATCGGCTTCATCGTCAGACGAAGACGATGTCTGTGAAGCCTTTGACGATGAGTTCAGCCCTGTTAAACCGACATCAGAGACTCCGGTCGGTGAGTTAGAAGACGATCACGCAGAGTCGGAAGCGATCTCGTTGCTGGAACTTGCTGGAGATATAGGAGACAACACAGAGTGACAAAATAAATAGCTTTTAGGACATCTCTGGCATCAGGTGATGAAGTGCCAGCGTTCTGACTACATAGAACACAAGATATCTCCATGAAGATAACCCACGTGCTTGCCTCCCCACGTCAGAGTCACATCGAACGGGATCGGCTTGGCTTCACAGAGCACAGGCGCTGCGTGCATCATCAAGTCGGACTCCTTAAGACAGAGCACTCCTTGCCCTCCATGGCCCTTCTCGGCTTCAATACTGATAGCGATATGCACGCCTCCGTTCACTGCCTTGGTGATAGCCGAGTGCGTCACGCCATTGGACATGGCCTCTCTCCACGCTACAGTCCGGAAGTTTGTGTACGCCAACTGAGATTCCTCGTCGTCGTCCACACGAGCGCTGGACTGGAAACCATTCTGCACCAAGTGAGCGACCTCGTAGACTTTACGTTGAAGAGCATAGACGTCTTCAGACGGTAGTGGGAAAATGGTGGAGATACTCACAGGCTCCACTGGAATCAGTTCAAGTCGAGAAGCAGCGAGAGCCGACAGACGATCGTTCGTCATGGCCAAAGGCTGCGTTCCTGCCGGTCCAACAGTGAAGTCAGAGTACTGATTGGGAGTCGTCGTAGCTCTGGAACTCGAGCCACTACCAGAGCGTAGACGGCTCTTTCGAAGCACACGTGTAACCACGTGAGCGATCGATGACTTCCTACGGCTCATGGAGACTCGCACACTGTGGCGTGAGGACTCTCCACTGCTGGTTGTGCTGTTCGAGTTGATGGCTCCACGACTGCTCTGGCTTCGTCGACTACTTGACGGGTTCGATCCCCCATGCCCTCGCCAACGATATCCTGTATTCTGCAGTATAGAACCTCCATCACGCTCTTCGTACGTCCAGATATTGGCGTCCAGCTTCACCAATTTGATCTTAAACTCGTGCACGTCACGCTTATCTCGAAGCGCGTGGTTACCTTGACGCAAATCTGCGATGGCTGCTTCGTCCATGTTGTACGAGAAGAAGCGATCGATCTCCAGCTCGTAGATACTGCACACTGGCTTGTGTGTGGACGTCACGATGTCTTCACATGACCAGTAGCCAACATTCTTGATCCGTTGCTTCGTATCACTTAACGAATGAGCCAAGATACGGTCCTTATACGCCGGTAATGCGTCTCCGACGAACATTTCTTCGTCAGGTTCGCAGAAAAGATCTCGACACGAACGCTCTCCGACCATCGAAAACGTAGCAGTGACGCCGATTTTACGCGGGAAAGAAGGCAGGAACCGGATAGGAGGTTCTTCGAATCCAGTGAAGATCTCCTTGGCCTCGATAGAAGCACGGAGTTCATCGTATCGAAGAACTTCCAGCCACTTTCGAGCCGTGTTCTCAGCTACCAGGTCGGACTTGGATAGTAGATCTCGGATCTTCTTGATGTTCCCACGACCAAGGGGGACGAAATGGCCACTCGACGTCAATCGATCGCTGGACCGCTGTTTGTTACTTGAAGACGAGAGACCCAGACGGTTTTCGGGCGATTGTGACGGCAGCTGGTCGTCCAAGAAAGAAGCCCAACTGCTCGGTTTACTCTTCTCACGTTCATCACTACCGTCCTGGATAATAATCTCCAAGCTATCGTCATCCATTACTGGTGTGAGGATATCGGGGCGTGTCAGTTGATCGGAGGGCGTTTTCAACAACGTGAACGGGACATCTCCGTCGTAAGAAGTGTACACTTCTTCATAAATACTGCTGCCACTGGACGATGAGGCTTCAGCGCTGCTCCGTTGACTACTCCAGCCAATACTTTCTTCCAAGATCGTGTGGTCGTTCTGGAACTCTCCGCTCTTCTTGTCGATCGACTTCTTGGCATCTCGAATGGCCTTGATCTGAGCCTCAATCGCCGTATCTGTCGCTCTCTTTAACGACTCCGCCTTGTACGCTTGATCGATTCCAGCAGCCAGTGAGGACGACGACATGTCCACGTCGTAATTTAAGTTACCGGACAGGATCGTGTGGTGGTATAAATTCGGGAAGTCAACTGCTGCTCGGTCCGCATCCATACCGAACGAGTGGATCAGACTCGAAGCCACTGCGTGTTTAGCGAAGACGTTGTTCTCCACTGGTCGGTACTGACGTTGCGAGTTATTGCTGAGCGACGTACTGAGATTGCACGATACAAACGCGATAGACGCATCGAAGTAGCGGATCGGGATCCCCACCACCTCGTTAAACGTTTTTCTCTGCGCCCAGATCCGTCCGTCGGCAGCTTGAAACTTTACATTCCCACTGGCATCGTCGGCGTTATTTACAAACACAATTTGACACACCGACGCCTAAAGTACACAGCAATCAGTAAAATAACCCAAAATAACGTGTAATACAACGCGTAACTTACATCTTGGACGTGGCCTCGCACTGCCGTTCCAGCAATCGACGTGATAGATCGGTACGCCGTGGGGTAATTTACTTGGAGAAGATATCCTCGGATCACTTGCTCGATCGTCTGCACTTCGACGCAGTGTTGGAGTGAGAAAACATACAAGTCTTTTCCTGCTGGAATCCAGTCACTCAAGTTGGTAGGACACGCAGTCCAGTTCATATCGAACGTAGTGACAAAGATGGTCGCTGTGCCCATGTGATGTCGCTCTTGCTCCCGTAATCTCACGGACTGTCGCAGCATATCTTCTGACAGTTTACTGTTCTTCGTAGATGACCCACCATTGCTCACCCATGGCTCTCGGACGTGTCGAACCACCCAGATGTGAAATTTCCCGTAAATAACAGCGTTAACGAAGCCTTGAAGCGGTACAATTGTGGCATGTAGGAAGTCCAGAGTGAACGACGTATTGCCTGTAAACGTGGCGTATGCTCGGTCCACCACAGCCGGTAGCCAGCAGAAAATGAAGCCTGTAATATAGATCGTGAGGTTGTGCACTACCGCGTAGTAGGCGTCGTTGGCGTCGTCGTTCTCGTAGGTTTTGAGTCTTTTCTTCATGTTGATCTTGACCAAAACGAGGAAAATGGTCATGGCGATGCCCCCAGCGATGACCCAAAAGTATAAAACACCGAACATCCACCACAACTCCTCGGTCGAGTCGTGCTCCACTACGACCCAACACCAGAGTCCTGCGTCTCCGAACTTGTTGAAAATGAGGCAGATAGAAGGGATCCCCACTGTGAAGAGCATGGTGCTGACAATGTACCACTTGATCTTCTTCATGAGCATCTGCTGGTCCTCGCCCATACACACCCAGCGGTACAAATTCAGCGCCATGATGAAGTTCCACGCGATCGGCGCGCCATCTCCAAACGTGATAACTGCAGTAGTAGTTAGTATTGCAATACTTCTACAGAGTAATATTTGTTGTTGCACGTACTGAAGGCCTGGAGCTTGCAGATTGGCGTTACGGGGTCACCTGCGTCTTGGTTGAACGTCTCTGTGGGTAGTTGGCCGAACGCGCGTCCAGTAGCGCCGAAGAGGTCCTGTAAGAATTGGTTCGTCAGATGTATTCGACATAAAAAGCAACAGGAACACGTGCCAGGTAGGCGATGATGTGGATGAGCTCTTTGGTGACGTCGAGGTGGTGCGCTGAGGCGGCGTAGACTGACAGCGACTTGGCCTTGAGTCTCCGCGCGTACCAGTAGCGGCCGATGATGTAGAAAGCGCCGATGATGGAGAGGATGGAGGTCGTGGCCGACGCTACTGTCTGGTAGCGCTGATGCCGCTCCTCCTCCTCCGTTGTCGGCGTGCCCATGACACTTGACCGACGCTCGAACTCTTTTGGGCTCAATTGGGAAGTGACTGGGGTTCCGTTTTGAAGAACCGGGAAGACATAGGGTCTCTGAACAATTAGGTTAGTGTGAAGTAATGCATGTTAACATGAATATGATATAATAGAGGTTAGAATAAGTTGATAAATTTGAGGGATACTGATAGAAGGGAAAAGGGTATTATATTTCGGATGAAGTGACAGGATTGGCTGAAAAAGTAGTGACACATGGGCGTAAGAGTGGGACAGTATCAGCAGCCCGCTTGGCGACCTGCATGTGCCCGCTTGTCTGACTTTGTCGCCTTTGTGGCCTCTTTGCAGCTTCCTGGGGCCATCTCAGTGAGATGCCGCCTGTTGTTTGACGACACAAACGCTACCATGCGGGGTTTGTTCAAAACTTGCAGTAGACGTCTATCAACTCGCAACAGTTGTTGCTGGCTTGAACATGTGCCCAATTGAAGCTTGAAGCTGGTGAGTCCACGGACTGTCTTCGTGCGCGGCTTGCACCAAATCGAGAACCCCCAAAAACCGGTGGTGGACTCGCTCACGAACGTCGATCAGACAGACGTCTGTGAGTCGGTCGTATTGGCGCGGCGGTGATGGAGCTGCAGTTCGATGTAAATGAGAGTGATCGACATAATGCAATGTAGCATCAACGTGTGTCAAAAGAGTTTGCAGAGCTGAATACATTCGGTCTGTCATTTTGAAAAGGACACAAAAAAGTTCCCATTTTGTAATTGGTTAATAACAAATAACCCGGTTATTTCTCCAGCCAATCAAGTATGCGCACACTCGAAACGACGCCAGCTACAGATACCTTTTCCAGCAATTGTGTCAATCCTCATCACGACCTCCCTCTTCCCTTCGCCATGGACACGACAGACGCTCCGCAGCTCATCGAGCACGTCAACCATAGCGTCAACTTCACACCGAATGACACCAAGTGGATTCCTGGCTCGGCGCGTTTCGTGGCCATGGGCATTTACCCCAAAGCCACAGGAGCCCTCACGATCTTTGGTCTCAACCAGGGCGAACTCAAGACACACGCGGTGCTCGAGAAGACGCATGGTATCAAATGCGGTACTTTCGGGGCTTCTGCACTGGAGGACCGACACTTGGCTACAGGCGACTACGGCGGCGTCATGAGCGTCTGGTAGGTTAGAAATCCGAGCTCAAAAGCTGCAAAATTGAGCTCATAAACGTCGAAAATGTGTCACTGTAGGGACCTGGAGAAGGCCGACGTGCCCGTATATTCAGCTCAAGCTCACAAGTCTATTGTGAACGCTATAGACGGCTGTGGAGGGCAGAATATTGGCAGTGGAGCTCCCGAGATCGTCACAGGAGGACGTGACGGCTGCATCCGCGTCTGGGACGTACGTGTATCCGAGCCAGTAGTCACGTTGGCTCCTAAGGAGCAGGACACGGCGCGAGATTGCTGGACAGTCTGCTTTGGTAACTCATATAACGACGTGGAGCGCTGCGTCGTCGGCGGCTACGACAATGGAGACATCAAGATGTTCGACTTACGTACCAACACGCTCAGATGGGAGACCAACTGCCAGAACGGCGTCGTCAACGTACAGTTCGACCGGAAGGACATTGAGATGAACAAACTTCTGGTCACGACACTCGAGTCGAAATTCCGAGTCTACGATCTGCGGACGTTCCACCCGGAACAGGGCTTTGCCTGTATGACAGAGAAGGCGCACAAGTCCACGATCTGGCAGGGACGCTTCTTGCCGCAGAATCGCGACCTGTTCATGACTGGCGGAGGCAACGGTGGCTTCAACTTGTACAAATAGTAAGTAGATAGTGCTGTGTTGGTTGATATTGACTGATCTAACGCTCCATTCTGTGAATTTCTAGTCACTACCCACTCTCGAGAACGGCGAAAGACTCTGATGGACGACTGTACGGTGTATGCGGCACGGTGGAGCTGCTCAACTCGCGAGTGCTGTCCACACAGCCAATTGTAAGCATGGACTGGAGCCCGGATCGGGAGGGTCTGTGCACTTTGGCGTGCTTGGACCAAACCGTCCGCGTGTATATCGTCACAAAAACCAACAAGTACTAGGCAAAGTCACCATGTACCACTAGCTAATCTTCTTCTGCATTAATAAGCAAGACTACTCCGTTGCTACCAGTCCAGCTGGGTTCACATTCGCATTCGAGGACAACGGTTTGAAGCCAAGAGCTCGGATCTCCTCCTCTGGGATGCCAAACTGGGTCAGCTTCTGTGTAAAGGTACGTAAACTGTCATTGTAAGCCTTGCTCTCCTTGGTGACACTGTACTGGAGTTTGCGGATCTTGGCGTTCTTCGAGTCCAGCAGCGTTCCCAGCGTCTCCGTCACTCTTCGAGCCTGCACTGGATCGAGGTTTGCAGCCAGTAGAATCTCCTGCAGTTGAGCGCCTTTACGTGCGTGTTGGTCGTCCATGGACGCCAGACGTTGCTCCAGAATGAGGTTCTTGCACTCGCCCTTCTTGTGAATAGTCTGGACCGTGTGCTCGAACGTGTCGTACAGCGCATTGCGGTCCGACTCCATCGTCCTGTACTTCATAGTGAGCTCAGCTTGGTGCTGTTTGAGGTCGTGCACTTGTTGCGCTAGATACAGCAGTCTGGCCTTGGCATTACGCAGCGACAACTTGTCCTTCTGCTCGTCTTTAAGCTCATGCCGTAAGTGCTCTACCTCTTGAATCGCAGCCGCTAAAGGCTCCGAAAGTCGCTTGTTCTCTTGGGAGACGTCGTGCATGAGCTTCGTATTAGCTGCCGCTTTCTTCTTCATAGCAGCGATCTCGTTCTTAAGCGAATCAATGAGCCGTAAGTTGTCTTTAGTGATGTCGTTGTAGTAGTTTTTGATCTGTGTAAAGGCCTTCTCGTGGTTCTTCATCAGGTCGTTGATGTGCAAGTTCTTACGCTCTTCGATCTCGTGGATATCCACTTTACGCCGCAGTTCTAACGACTCCTGAAGGTCTCGCAGACGCTGCTGACAACGAGCTTCAAGAGCGGCATTGTTCTTCTCGAACTGTTCACGCAGCTTCATGAGGTTCTTCTCGTGGGCCTGTTTCATCTGCTCAATCTCGTCTTCATTGGACAAATCTCGCTCCTTGAGTTCGAGTTTAAGAGATTGTTTAGTGCTGCGTAGTACAGTCTCTCTGTGCTCGTGTAGATCCTTCTCCTCGTCCATGTGACCCATGCCGTCCGTCTGTACGCGCTTGAGATTGTTTTTGTGTTCGTAGTCCAAGTGCTTCACTTTCTGTACGTACACACGCACTTCGACGCGATGGTTATCTTCCATGATCTCCATCTCGCGGTCTTTGGCCATAATTTGGTTCTCGTGGTCCTGGATCTCTTGCTTGGTGATCTCGTAGAACGACTCGATCATGTCCTGGCAAAAGAGGGGTTAACCCTTTAACCATTTTTCCAGTTGAAGATAACGGAGACCATGGGCGTACCCGCTCATGCTGAACGTAGTTGCGATCCACTTGGGCCTTCTCCAGCTGCTGCCTCAGCATTTGAATCACCTCCTTGAGCATCGGCACGTCCATCGTGTCGTACTCTAAGCATAACACAATTTAAGAATTGAGCTAGGACTGTTTTGGTCGTTAAGGTTTACCTGAGGGCTCCTCGGGCGGTGCTTCCTCCTCTTTCTTGCCCTTCTTGCCCTTCTTCCCCTTCTTCTTGGGCCCCATCGTTCAGTTCGCGTGTATTTTTCTTCGCTTTAGCTGCTCAATACTGAAGTACAGGACGTTACGTTGAACGGGGTGACCCTTTAGTGGGTCATTCTTGTCAAAGGTCCCTTCGTATCTTGTGATAGACTGTGTTGATGGGGAATGCGAGGTCGGATACGAGGAACTTGGCTAGCGTCCACTACCTGAGCATATCGGGTGACGAGAGCAAGTAAGTGACGATGAGATGGTGTACCGCTTAGACAGTTAATCTGATTGCGTTCAAAGCTCGACGATGTATGAGGAACCTTTGCTAGACAAGAGCAGGCAGTTGCAGCAGGAGGACGACAAGATCGACCTTGGAGCGGTGATCCACCAACTCAACAGCTTCTTTGCAGTCATTTGGCCAGTCTCAAATGCGATCATCTGCTCGAGGTAGGCGATTGTCTGCATTTTGTACGTACAATTTGTGCAAGGCGTTTTCATTTTCTTTTCTTTTTTGCAGTCTTGCTGCTTCGTACATCTCCGATCCTGTCATGACACAAGCCATGAAGTAAGCTTTCGACTATTGTCCATGGGTTGATGGTGACATGCGTATTAATTAGATTGTGGAGTAGGACGTACATGTACTACCAAGACATCGACTCATCTGGGCTGTCTACGGCCGAGAAGACAGAGGAGGCGCTTCTCAATGCGCTTTTGGTGATTGTATTCATCGCCTTCCTCACCTTTGGGATCGTTTTGCTCTACAAATGCAACGGCATGCATCTCTTCGCCTGGTACTGCATGTTGTACTCGGCCGCGTTGCTCGGACTCATGGGTTCGAAGCTGGTCGTCATCGTTCTGTGTGGAAACCTGCACTGGGTCATCGATCGCATCTCGCTCACAATTGTCATGTACAACTTCGCGATGGTCGGCGTGCTCAGCATTTTCTATCAAAAGGGTATTCCTGGTATTCTTGAGAGAGGTTATCTTATCGCTACCAGTGTCATCGTAGCTTGGCAACTCGCCCAGTTACCCGAGGTAAGACGGAAATGTTGTGGTATTTGAACTACCGCGGACTAATATGCTGCGATGTTAGTGGAGTATTTGGATGCTTCTACTCCTTCTAGGCTTCTGGGACCTTTTCGCCGTGTTAACACCGGTGGGGCCTCTGCGTTGTCTGGTTGATCTCGTGCAGGAGAAGGGAACTCCGATTCCAGGTCTTCTATTCGAAGCAGATGTGGAAAAAGCTCATATTGGAGGAAATACCATCGACCAGAACGCGCCGAAGCGAAGATTTGCGAGTCGTGACACAGTACCAGAGGAGGTTTTCATCCACCGTTTGCTACTTGCAGCAGAAAGTGTAAATGTTCAAGATCATGGAGCAGTTAACGGTGCTCTATTTCGACGGCAAGTACAAGTGTTTCTGTACGACCAAAACTCGCAGTGCCAAAACCAAAGCGATGAACTTGCTCGCAAGTTTGAACGCAACCAGCTCCGTCTGTGGCGAAATTTGTACACTTACTACTGCGTCGACTACGTGTCCAAGCAACAGCCATATCCAGCTATCCATACTGTGTTTCCTACTTCCATGGACACGTATCCTGCCTATGCAGGTAGACCCAACTACAATTATGATACCAGGGGCGAAGGCTGCGAGGACAAATCTATCAAATTGGGTCTCGGAGATTTCATTTTCTACAGCGTTTTGGTCGCCCGTGCATCGCTACACGGCTTCGACGTATTTGCAGCTTGTTTCCTCAGTATCCTCGTGGTAAATTTCACTATTGGTGGGTATTCTGAAGCAATCAAAACCTAACTTTTTGTTGTTGCAGGGACTGGGGATTACACTCTATTTGCTTGCACGCTTCGACGCGTTACCGGCGCTCCCTATCTCACTGTTTATGGGGATCATCACCTACTTGCTCATGATCACCATCACCTCCCCTCTGCTTGAAGAGCTCCAAGCAAGAAACGTATTCGGTATCTAGAATGTTGTTATCGGCACTCGCAGCCGCATCTGGTGTCTCTGCTGCAGTAAAGATACTTTTTCCAAGTTGCACGTTCGGTCAGAGGAGCGTCGTACTGTACTGTATTGTACCTCGTTCGTTTCTCAGTCGTTTTCGTGTTGGTAAAGGATAACGTGAACACGTCTAGTCTCTTGGGTGGCAAGAACATTCTTGTGTAGATGGATCCGAACTGGAAGGAGGGATTCGTCAGTCATCAAGGCAGCTTTTTTTGAGATCATTATTGGGTGAACTTTGTTCTTTGCAAGGGACAAATTTTAACGGTGTTTGTCTGCACAGATTTCAACACCTCCGTTAATTTTTTTTCTACAGCTGCAAAAATAAAATGCCGAGCATACGTTGCTGTTCTCGGGTTAGATAACCTGTGTGATAACTGGCAACTCGTCAAAATTGTCACCAAATGACGTCAGTACTGCATCCCATTGCAGTGACAATTCATCGTCGCCAACGTAGTTAACTGAGCTTCGGGCTGCTGCAACGGGAGGGGTGGGTATTTCCTGCTTAGAGCTGGAGATAGTCGCCCCGGGTTAACAATGATACTTGTATCATGCACGACCTGCAGGTTGGCCAATAAGTTTAGCACTGTGTGCCAACGTTGCAGACTCTGGACTTCAGTCTGGTGCCTTATGAAACGGATCGCCAAAGATATTTTTTTTGTCTGAACCGGCTACAACTTCAACTTGGACGAAAACCGCCCGGCGAGCAGTGGAGTCGAACTGATAAGATCAATGCGTTCGATTTGGCTGTGAACGCACAGCGTTCAACACAGTATTTTCGTGCCATGAAGACGAGCCGGGGTGAAAGATTTCGCTGGGGGTGTACAAAATGGAATCAGGTATTCGGAACAACATCAATCGGTTACAGCGTCTCAAACCTGGCTTCATGCCTAATGGCATGTTGCATTGATTCCTCCGTTGTGACCTTTTGCTGAGCCAAGATTTACTGTACGATGTAGATAGTCTTGATAAAAACTCTCCAAATTCGTAAGATATTCATGTTGTTTTCGTCTTTCAAGCCTTTAGTAGTTTCGCGAAAAAAAAAAGTCAAGTCAACTGCTTGGTGCCCGTCCGACCACCGTTTGAGAAAAATTAGCACACCGCAGCAGAAAACACTCGCCAAGTGGCGTTTTTTTTCTTTCTTGGTGCTTTTTCGGGGCGGCTTCTGGTTTATCCTATTTCTTCCGCTTCGATCCAAGGCACTTCGGGCGTTACTCCAGCTTGGAGGCCTGTAGGTTCATAGAGGAATAGAGAGAGAAGCCCAGCATTCAAACACTCACGCCCACCCGCGGACGAGCCGAGCCCTTCGATCGCAGAAGGGAGTTGACCATGGAGCCACCAGGCGCAACGGCACGCCTTTCGACGTCCCCAACCGTGACGTCCAATACCAAACTTGAATCGGTCGCGTCCAGACTGGACGAAGCGAAGTATCCTGGCAGCACGTGGCCTGTCGGCCATCAGCGCTCGCAGATGGTAGCAGCGTGGCAGGGCAACTCAATGCGACAGATGCAAGAGCCACAAGTCGGTGGCGTTCCTCGTTCCGTGTTGCAACGGTTGCTAGGGAAGCCGGTTGAAAATGCCCCAAACACGCCACTACACAGTCCTAGACGTCGATGTTCGGCTGCGTCGGCTGCTATGGTGTCCATGGTGCACAGTCCGAGGACGTTTGCCAGTAACCCATTGGAGAAACGAGACCCGACGGCTCAAACGGCGCCTTTTCCTTGCGTTTCGCCCATGTTCCCCACCCCAGAGTTCGGTAGTTACGAGAGTAATATCCATAGCAACTGCAGCAGCGGATGCAGCAGTCCGACACCGATCGGGAACTTCATCGACGGGCCGATTCCGTCCGACGATGAGGACGAGAACGCAGATGAAGTGACGATGCTGCGTCAACAAGTGGCGTTGCTGGTCAAGAGCCTGGAGGACGAGAAGAAGCGACGCGCATCGGAACAGCAACTCATGCAGACCGTAAGTGGGTGCAGTTTTCTTCCTGGTCGTACAAATCTTGTAGCTAAATCTCCTTTCGTGCAGAAAATCATCGAACTTCAGACCTTAATCCGAGGAACTGGAGAGGACGAGGATACAGTCAGGACTCGAGAGAACGAGCGACTGGAGAATAACCAAGTCAGACGATGGTCAGCGCCACTGGAAGAAGACGAAGGCGTCGAGTCTTGTAGCTGTGCACAGAAGCCAACGGATTCGAGCGGAGAGGCGACTACCAAGCTGCAACTCACGCGACTGCGAGCACGGATGCACGCCATCGTCATCGACGCTCAACGGGAGACCCAGTACGTTGTGATAGTCGTAGTTTTTGATGCCAATACCGTGCCTTATCTGTGTATTTCGGACCGTTTTAGAGCACTTCGAGCACAACTGGAAGGTGTGAAGCGAAGCCACAGTAAGAGGGAGAAGCAGCTCACACTCGAGACGACCATCAAAGTCGCTGCTCTGGAGCAGAAGCACGCAGTTGCCACTAGTCGGCTCACTCAGCAAGTCGCAGATAGTGCCGCTCAAGTGGAGAAGCTACAAGTTGAAAAACAGGAGCTGCTAGCGTGTATCCAGACGCAACAAGAGCGTCTCCATCAACTACAACTTGCTCTCGGCGGGAAGCATATCGTGGACGCCTCTAGGTGATCGCAAGTCGGAAGCGCGGCCATGAATTAACTCTTATAAATGGTGTGTGTGCAGCCTCAAATGACAATAAAACAAGAGAGGAAAAGCGCATCAGTCTGCAGGCTTCTAGACGATCGAAAGTCTACCTGCTTGACGACTGCTCTGCCCCCCTGCTCTCTCCTGGCCAAAGCCTAATGCACTTGCACCATCAGGATGTCACCACAACTATAGAATAATATCAAAACACACAGGGTCAGACCTCGGTATATTACGAAGACGCGTTAAACTTGACCCGGATCTCCTCCTCGCCCAACAGACCGCCACTGATCGAGTTGATGTTGCCCGTGAACACGCGTCGTTCCCATGTGGCGGTGTCGAAGTACAGGAACTGCGGCGTCATCGAGCTGTTGGCTAATGAGGGCCCCGTACTTGCGCTACTACCGATGGATCCGATGCTGCCGTTGCCTGTTGCTCCAGTGGGGGATCCGTTGCTTGATGCTCCTACAGAGGAGCTCGCATTGCCAGCCAACAGCGCAGCATCTGCCGGGGACGCACGTTTCAACCACGTCTTTAACTCGGCATGGTATCTCCACTCTCGACTGTAAAGTTCCTGGGCGGCGTAGGCCTGCAGCACGTCCTTGGGCATCGAGTAGAAGATGAAGAAGAGCGTCTCGAGGTGGAATTTGGACAAGTGCGTCGTCTTGAGCACCGGGGGCTGGTTGTAATAGCACATTGGCAACGAGAACTGCGGCTCTTTTGTCAGCTGCTCTTCAGACCAGGGCGAGGCGAACGTCGGGTACAGCGGTCTATAGTAGCAGCAAACAATTCGCCGCGTTAGAAGCATATAACCAACAGTAAAATACCCTTGAGCTGCCAACATACTCTGCCGAGTTGAGATTTAATCCCAGCGACGTGAGATCGCAGCCCATGGCCAAGTTCTTGGTCGCGTCGCCGTTGCCTGGTCGGATGATGGTGTGCAGCATGCCCAGAAGTCCGTACTGATTGCTCGGGTCCAGCTCGCCGTTGCTGGCTTCAGTCTGTTCATCCTGTCGCGGCGCTCGGAAGTGATCGAACGCTTCGGTGCCTAGATTTACGCTGCCACTGGCTCCTGCTGCTTGCGTTGCTCCGCCTGCGCGACTACCTATCGAAGTGCCTCCTTTCTGCTGCTCCAACCGTGAGGATAACATGCCGTCTGCTGCAGAGGAAGTGAAGCTCGAGTGTCTCTTTAACTCCGACGGTGGTCGCATGGGACTCTTCTCACTCACACCAGGGCCAAACGTCGACAGCGCTGGGAAATCCTCTTTCTGGATCACAAACTCGGACGGTTGTGCACGCATCCGCTCGGCTGCTGTGCCTTCGAAGCTCGAGTCCAGCGACAACGACCCCATCCTGTTCACCATAGTTAATTCTTCGTTGCAGCATTGGAACAGCAGACATATTCCGCCTACCTAGAGCCTAGAGCAGGGAACTCGGACATGTCTGGAGCCTTATTCTCGGTCGGCATTGGGAAACTCCGTCCTGTTTAAGAAACAAATAAAAAAATCATGAATTATTATCAATAATGCCAAAATAATAGCGTTGATGTCCCCAACGCACCGGAATTGATACGGTGTAGCTCATGCGTGGGCGGGATTGCACTTCCTCCTACTTGCATGCGACCCACACCAGATCCACTCAGAAACTGCAACACCGACAACAAAAATCGTTAAAAACAATTGCGAAAACGCTTGAGAACTGCTGCAACCGACCGAACTGGATCCGCCCTGCATCAGACCGCTACTGTAGCCTGAATACGAGCCGTGTAGCTGCGCCATATTGGGATCAGCGGAGTCGGCGTCCATAAGGCCGCTGCCCATTGAGTGGAACGACGAGAGACTGAGATGCGGTCCTCCGCTGCTACTTAGGCCGTTGCTACTGCTGCCGGGGCCCTTGGAGCTCGCAAACTCGTCGCGGTGGTAGTAGTACTGGCTGGCGTCGAACTCCTCCTGAGCACAGTAAATTAGTGTAACAGTACAATATAACATCACATTTGGCACACAACGCACCTTGTCCTCGGCCGTCTGGATGTTGTCCTTGAAGTAGGCGAATTTGTCCTTGGACGGGTCAATCATGGCCAGCACTGGAGAACGAAGGGAGACTCGGCAGAGGCGCGGGGCGTGGACCTCGCGTGCTGCTTCCTGCTTCCGCTTTGTGTGGCGTTTCTGCAGTGATCCCCCCTGAGGACGTGTACAGTATGGATTCGTATAAATGCGAACAGCTCAATTGTAATTTTGCTCAAATTTTGGGTGATTGGTCAAAATGGTCAGCCAAAAGAGCAGTGTTGGATAAATCCTCGGCTTCTCGGCTTTACCATTTTTTTGCCGATCGGCTGTTCGGCTTTAAAGTGGCTTTATTTTTTAAAGCCGCGGCTTTATAATTCCGGACAGAAACACCACAAGCAGTCATATCCGGATGCATCCGGAAGAAAATCGAGCGCCATAAGATAATTACAGAAAAGGTACAGATAAGGTTGTTAAAGTTTTCGTTATATTTTTTTTCTTGCAAACTTACCGTCATACTTTAAAATCTCCGAAAATTACCGATGTACCGTACAGCCTCGTATAATTTCAAAAAATACAGGTGTACAGTACAGCCTAATTTAAGTACGACAAATCCTGGCCTTTGGATTTGAGAAGCTCATTTGAAAAAACGCGCCACGAGTCGGAAGCCATCTGAACGACGTTTCCCCGCGCTTTTCCTGCAGGAAGGCCGATACTGCACCGTCGCCACGAGAGCCGCGCATACGCCACCACGAAAACGCCCCACGCAGGCACACAAGCACACTAGAGACGCCATGTCGGACGGTGTGAGCGTTTTGCAGATTTTTGAATATATATATGTGTGTTCTGACGCGTTTATTTTCCATTACAGACAGCCTGGACGACCTGTTCAAGCCTAACTCATCGTCTGCGGAGGACGACCATGATGAAGATTTCGAACCTGGAAGCGACTCAAGTGATTCCCTTCTGGAACTTCTGGCTGCGATTGGTAAGAGCCTATGTGCTGTATATTTTCTTCTTCGCTAATGACTAGTATCTAATTGGAGTTTTGTACCATGTTATATACAGATAACACGCATTTCTGAAAGAAAAACAAGGTTAGTGGTTGTTGAATTGAATGAGTCATACGATTAATATCTAACTTGCTATCAAAATGGTTCTGCAGTTCCTACTGGGCCACAAACTCCGGTGAGGCCGACAATCAAGCGCAGAAAGCATCGACCGCGGCGCGCAAAACGACCGGAAAAACGTAGGCGACGCGGAACCATGGTTGGGAGCGATGAACTAAGCGGTGAAGAGCGTCGCAGATACTTTGTCGTTGCCGTCCACCGACGACGAACCAGGTCATACGGCAGAAGTCGATGAGTTTGACGTTACACAACCGACGACAGACCGCACTCCCCGAATTAGACGTACCGAGTCCTATCCCGACCGCGTCGCGATGGAGACCTCTCGTGTCGGCATGGTGAACAAAATTCCCCCGTTGCGGGAGTTCATATTCTCATCTTGGCGTGAGTTTAGTAGTACTTTGGAGAAGTATTGCTCCGATTATTACCTGCTATTTAGAGCACGAGATACTCGCACCGTGATAAAACACGACACGTGGGTAAAATTATTTAATTCATTTAACTTCACATTAACAATTTGATTTTTTGTAGATTGAGAGATCTACGGATTCCTACCAAGATGGAGTACAGTTACAAGGTATTTCGCAGCACTCGCGGCTGTTCGCAGAAGTCCCGAAGCAAAGGGTAACGCAATACTCCAAGTCGATACACAGGATGCAAGGCGCGTTTTACGGCTACAGTGAGAAATTTGTCTGATGAAGGAGGACGAGATGAATGGAAAATTGTTCTGCGAAATTGGGTAAGTATTAATAACGTTAGTGAAGTTGCTGGTGTTAAACTAGCAATTATTTTGTGGTGTAGACCTGGACGCACAATCACCGCACGAATACAACAATATACGCCAGCTACTTCGGGGCTGGATCAATTCCGGAGAACAGTATGGTGTTTGATCAGGTTGGAGTTCTCGCCGATACCAACACAGAATCAAACCAGATTCAGCAGTTCATATCAGGGGCGTTGGATCGCCACGTGACGCCACATCAAGCACACAACATTTTTCGCAAGGTGCTCAAGAGTACGTCAGCGGATAAACAGCTTTCAAGAATGCCGGATACTGTCGCCACATTTGCTGATCACCTCGTACTGGTCATTCGAGACCAGAATGATGTTACCAGCGGTGTTGTGATCCAGTCTGCAGTTCAACGACTAGCCTTCGAGCGTTGGGGAGAGTCGCTTTGTATGGACTGGACGTACGGAACCAACAACGTGGGGTTTCACCTTGGTAAGTATTATTATTTTACTGTGATGCAGCAACCTTAACTAAGAAGCAGCACCCTTAACTACTTTGAAATGCTATTTGTACAGGTAGTCTGCTAGCTACAAGTGCAACAGGCCGAGGTGTACCTGTTTTGGATTTCATCGCTCTCGACGAAAGGATGAGAACAATGGAGGCGATTTTGGAATTTTTTAAGAAGCACAACAATCATCGAGACGTTCGTAATTGACAAAGATTTTAAAGAGTGGAGAGTGCTGGAGAAATGTTTTCCTCGAGCGACGGTCTTGTTGTGTCAGTTTTACACTATGGCGAACAGGAAAAAGGCCAACAAGCGACTTAAATTCAAATTCGACGGGACTCAGAGGGACGAAGTGGAGTATTCAGTGAAGCAAATGATGTACAGCACGACTACAGAGGCGTTCAACAGAGCGAGGGACGGATTGGGAAAATGTTGCAGTGGAGATTGCCCTAATATCTGCCCGAAATCATGTCCAGAAATTTTTCAGTATTTTCAAGATAATTGGGAGTGGTGCAGTGAAATGTGGTCTAACCATCGGCGTGGCAACTACTTTACCGCCGGTAATACAACGACGAACCGGATCGAGACGAGCTGGAACCAGTTAAAGCGTCTTCTCGGGAGAAAAACGAGAATCGATAGAACTATAGCTGGATTGCTACAAAATCAGGTCAATATTGTTAATCACGTATTGACTTCACTACGCAAGTTCTCCAGTCAGTCTCGACGTCCGGACTCTATCCCTCCATTTTTACACCTTGTTGCTGCGGAGCTTTCAAATGATGCCCTCGCGAAGATTTCGTGGCAGTGGGACTTGTTCATGGTGAATAAGAGTGAGTCAAAGTGCATCCGTGTAGGCCCTACACAGTCCGAGTGGAAAGTGTTTTTGTCTGGTCAAGAATCGTGCGTCGATGACCTGATGTGGTCATACAGCCGCCTATTTTACAAGAGCCGTCGGGTTCCATGCCAACATGTTATGGTGGTGGCTTGTAAAGCCCACCTATTTAAAGTGCTACCTACTACTACAGTGCCAAGTCAGTGGAGCATGAGAAAAACTGAAGAGCTTTACGACTCTTTGGGAGAGAGGCCTGGAGCCGCTTCGACAAGTTATCAACATGGTGAAAGCCCGGTCAAGTCGAGTAATGGCGCCTCAAGCTGCCGCACCATTAGCAATTGCTTATGCAGGTACATCTCGCATTGGCAAAGCTTATTTGAAGTACGTACGTCTCCGGAGAGAGGAACAATCAAGCATGGTCGTGCTGTCTAATGGTGAAATATACGCAAGGGCCCAATCTCTTTTCGAACCAGTTATTGAGAAACTTAGTGGCCTATCTACAGTGGAGTTTTACGTGCAGATGAGTAAGTGGAAGAGCGTTGTCGATCGCGAGCAAGAAAATACTACTGCTGCAAATTCGTCTACGGACGGAAACTCCACTGCGATTAAGCCTACCGAAAGTGACTCGGACAGCTTCTTTGATCAGCTTGGTTACGCTGATATGATGGCTGAAATGGAGGCAGATCAAGTGTTGGCTATGAAAGCCAACTCAATGACTGATCTTGTTCGTGAGCACAGTTTAGGGGCACAAGACGATGGAAACTCGGAAACTGCAGAATCTCCTTCATTCTCCGAAAGCGATGAATGTCCGTCAACGCAAGTGTCGAATTGAAGCGATAAGGTTCAGTGGTGAAACCTGCTGAAAAGAACAAGGCAAGTTTACAACAAAAACAATTTGCAAACAGCTACAGCTCATGGTGAGTCTCTCGATGCACCAAGTGAGTCTTTGAAAGCACGTGGTTTTGAAATTCTGAAACTACCAGCTCCGAAACGCAGGACTCGAAAGAAGACTAAACAAGGGTGGATAACTCCACAACCAAGTTTGCTGCTGTTTTGGTCTCTTCAGATGTCACCACGACGCTGACACAAATTATTCAATGGGCAAGTTACCACCCAAATGTGAAGAAGGTCTCTAATGTTTTAGATCAGTACCCAGTCCGCATGACGGACAAATTTAAACAAGCGCGTCCTGTAACCTGCCTAGTTGCCGAGGAAGGTAGTGAGGCAAATTCCAGCGACCACGCGTTCGTCATCCCTGAAGCGCTGTTGAAAAAGGCAGATGCAGCATTGCTGCAAAAGAAGGAGTTGCTGGAAAGAAAGAGGAATCCGCGCCGTGGGGACTGCACGTGTCGTTCGGATCCAAAATCCTCGTTCTGCACAGGTACTTGGATATTGCGTTTATTAAGGGTGCTCTTAGAGAAATAAGGGTGCTCTTAGAGAAATAAGGGCGCTCTTAGAGAGTAAGGATGCCGCAACTTTCATTTATTAACTTACATCTTTGTGATGCATTTTACAGCTATTTCCTGAACAGAATGAAGCAGTTCCACGCACTCAAAGCGAGAGCGAGAAGCTATATTGAAGACACCAAGTGGCTGAAGCAGGAGTGGCGCTATGTTCAAGCCCACCCTGTTGAACCTTTTTCAGAGGAAGCGAAAACAACTGGACTACTGCATTCTGAAGCTGCTAAGGTGCATGAAGCGCTAGCGAATGATGTACTAACAAAGTATTATGGGCTTTCTCTCATGACGGTGCTGAAGACGAAGTCGGGGTCTTCTTTCGTTAAGTTTAGTGATATTGCTGGTGGAATTCCTCGCGAGATGATGGTGAACGATTCTATTATCGACATGAGCATAAAGATGATTGCAGACAGTGTGAAAGGGTGTGTGGCGTTATCGTCACTGATGATATGGCCTTCTGCATTGAAGTAGTAGCTCTCTGAGTTCGTTAATAGCTTCAGCTTCGCGTAGAAGTATTGCCTCCAGCTCCTCCCGTACTGCAGGTCGTTAATTGCTTCGGCCATCATGTCCATCTTGTCTTGAAGCACTTGCAGCTCGTTGGCTCTGGAACGCAGGAACTCCCGCGCTAAGTCTTGGCGCGGGAGTTCCTGCGTTCGCTCTTTGTCTTTGGAAGATTCAACGCAATCAAATTTGAGATCTGGTAAAATTGTCAGTAGCGACTTTATTTTCGTAAAACTTCGCCTCTGAGTGTTATTTTGGTTAATAAGGGCGCTATTCACAGTTAAGGCTAATGTCATAAGAGTGCTTGTAGGCTGTCGTGTTGTTGTAACCTTAGGGTGCTCTAACGCCATTCGAAGAAAATGCAGGTGTCCTTCGCCTTTGGGTGTGCAAAACGCACTGCGACGGCACCGACCTGCACCTGTAGAATAAGACCGTGATGGTTGGTGCCAGCGCGAGGGATCGTTTCTCTACTGGTTGAGGGTGGACTTCAACTTCAGCACACTCATGACGATGCTACCAATTTGGAGTCTCAAGTCGCATCAAATCAGACGCTGGAGATCAAGATTTCAGTCTTAAAGCTGAAGGCGAAGAGGGCGTTACAGGCACTGCAAGCTGGCCTCGACGAGATCTCTGAAGCTGAGTCTCGTGCTGCTGTATTCGTGGAGGAGCGAGATGCTGTGAATATATTACTGCAGCAGAAGCAGACTGCATACGACGAGTCGACTGCTCAACGTGAGGAAATGCAGAAATAAGTCGAAGAGCTTAACGCTGAACCCCATAGTACACAGGAGAAGCATTAAAAAAAAGGAAGCTGGCGCAGGTGACGAGACGGTTCGTGATCTAAAGGATGTGGAGACGACGTTAACGGCGTCAGAGATGTCTCCCAAGCGGGATCTGGCTGAAGCCGAGTCTTGCGTTATGGTGTTGGTGGAAGAACGTACAGCGAAGGATCAGAAGATTGAGGAGATGACTTCCCAGCCAGGAGAGCTAGAACTCGCAGCTCAGAAGCCTGAAAGTGAGCTGAACACGCTGCGGAGTAAGAGCTCAGCCGACCCAGAAGCCACGAGGGAGATGCTACGTGGCCTTCAGGAGTCCGAGGCCCATGCAGAGGAAGCTGTTAAGGGCCTGCAGGAATCATATTCTCAAGCTGAAGCTTCTCTACAGACAGTCCAGGAGCAGCTAGCGGAGTTGCGTGTTGCAGCCCTGGAGAAGAAACGCGAACGTCTCTGAATGAACAGGGGCCGACTGACGAGATGCTGAGTGCGCTTCAAGAGGACTTGCAGAAGAAGGTTACTGCACTGGAGACAGAGTTGAAGGGGATGCACGAGACCAGCTCGGCTGAACTGACTGCTGCACACGAGACCATCGCTAGCGTGAAAGCTGCGTAGGCGAAGGAAGCAGAAACGTTGACATCTTTTCGTCAGGAACTCGCAGAGGCGGAAGGCTGCGTGATGGTGCTAGTCGACGAGCGTGATGCTGCGAAGAAGACGCGGAGTAAGAGAGATCTGACGCTGGAGGTTCTGAGCTCGGAGCATGGCGAGCTGCAGCTCAAGAGTAAATCGGTGAATACTGAACTGGAGGCGCTTCGCAATAAAAGCGCAGCGGATGCTCAAGCTGCAGAGGAGAAAGTGCAGGCGTTGAAACAGGATGTTACACGTGTATCGGAGATGTTCGAAGCCAACAGGAGTTATCGAACTCCGAGTCACGATTGAGTTCTCTGACTGCTGAGTACGACATGGTGACGAAGGCGTTGAATGAATTGGAGACTGAACACGGTGCTATGAGCACCCAAAACAAGGAGCTGGAAGAGCGGATCGAGAGTTTGAAGGATCAGAAGAATAACTTGATTACGCAACACATGAGTGAGTTAGAGTCCGCTGAAGAGACGATCCGTGCGCTGAAGACGTCGGAAGCTGAGGCGAAGGAATGCTTAACATTAGTTCGGCAAGAATTGGCAGAGACGGAGACTTGTGTGGAGGCTCTTACAGGAGAATTGAGCGACAAGGAAGTTGAAATCGGCAAGCTTACCTCCGAAGCAGATGGGTTCCAGGAGCGTATCCAGGCGCTGGAATGAGAGCTACAGATGCTGCAGAGCCTGCGTGAAACCGAGTTTGAGACAGCAGAGAAGTTGAGGGCAGTCTGAAGTCGTCGGATGACAAGACGATGGACACGCTGGAGTCGATTCGAGCGAAGTTGTCCGAGACGGAGGCTCTTGTGGTGTCTACCGAAGAAAAGCTGGAAACCTCAAAACTAACGTTCGAACAGAAACAACTTATAGCTGCTGAGTTGACGAAGAGGAAAGCTAGTCTTGTTGAGAACAGGACCGTCTTGAATCTACTGTGACTGACCGGGAGTCAAAGCTTCAAGTTGAAGCATAGTAGCTCTTCGACGCAGCACAGCATATCGAAACGCTACTACAGCTGATGATCTCTGAGCTCGAGAAGAAATTGGGACCCGGCTCGACTACCTCAATGACAAGGAGAAGAAGGACGAGAACCCTGATGAATCGTTTAATGTTCGATATGAGAGCGACGAAGAGGACGAGATCATCGAGGACGACCGCACGAAGCTGCTGCAGCGACCCAAGCGGTTGCTGGAGCGTAGAGGTCAACGAGCAGCTCTAGGTGACCGGCAGCATCTCAACGCGTTTGAATAATGGTAATACAGACAGCATATTTCGAAAGATCAACGGTGTCAGGTTTTAAATGATCTATTCCGAATGAAGAGCGGCCACATACGGAGCCAAACCAATCGTGTTTTCTGAGGGGAAGAGCGTCTCGAGACAGATCGTTTGTCCTCGAATTCCAGAAAGCTTTGTTTCTTGTGGAAACCTTCTTACGTTAGATCGTGGAAATGGCGTAGTATTTGGCTCGGGAATGGCTTCTTCAAATCCATTGAATTCCTTGTGCAGCAGTTCTTCATCTTGAAGGCTATCCGATGCTTCGGACTTCGACGCTTTGGCAATATGTTCTTCACTTTCACTATCTCGACCGTCTGACGGAGTCTCGTACGAGTCTAGAACATCGATAACACCCTGCCAATATTCAAGAGTACCCGAGCCCAGTATTTCCTGGTGCTCAATAATATGGTTTTCTTCGAGTTCTTCGATAGTGACGGCAGGAACCTCGTCACAGTTGCCTATGCGCCCGCAGCTACGATGCGTTTCAATTCGCTGCGTGCCTTCGTATCCGTCTCAGCTTTATTAAGCAGCCGAATTGCCTGACGAATTAGTGAGAACTTCCGTGCCTTTTCAGCAGCCATCCTGTTCCTCAGGGTGGTTCGTAACCACTGCCACGGCGTGCCATGCCACTGCACTCTGAATTTTCCCTTCAAAAGGAAGCTTGCCGACATGCCCAAGCGCGCGAAGTGCTCAACGAGGGCGCCCCCAGCAAGAAAAAGAGGTCCAAGGTCGCGTCAATGACTTGTCAAGCAGCAGCTTCAGCTACTCCAACAACTGATAATGCTTCATCCTTCTCTCTTGACGTGCCCGTCACAAGTGCGGCCCCGATCAACCACGAGCAAGATGTGACGGCATCGTTGAGCTCGTCGACGTGTTCTATTCCAGCTTTCGCCGCCGATAAGCAGTCAGGACCAACACAGCACGCTATGACCGATTTGAGTGAAACCGGAAGCACATTGAATCGAGCACCGGTCCAACCGGCGAGGCGTGGAGCAGCACCTTTAACAGCAGATACGGCAGCTGATCAGAGTTCGGGTGACCTGTTACACAACTCGTTTGTTTCGGAGATGAGAATGCTAAGGCCTGCTACTGGTCAAATTATGAGGGGTGGATACACTAACGACGAGCTTCTGGGAATGCTCAGTTCCGATGAAGCGTCCGAACTGTTTGTTCCGGCGACCGGCATTCGCGCTCACTCTATGGCAAGTTATGTTGGCAACACCGGGGGCACTACCGTACAGCCACCACAAATTACTAATTGGACGGTTAACGACCAGGAAGCGTCGTACCTCCCACCACAAATGACTATGGCAAGTGGACAGTGGTGCAGCTCCGAAAGGAGTGCACTGAACGAAAGCTCCGACTTAAACGGACTGTCAGCAAACCGGATCAGATTCGCCACCTCACAGAATACGATGCCGCCAAACGTGCTGTGCAGTCCTCCGTTGATGAAGAAAACCTTCTGGACCCAAGCCAACGGAAGAAGAAGCACTGCCCCATTTGACTTCTAAACGTTCTCTTTCCGACCAGTTTGCGGGGCGCCTGGGTGCATCAGATGACGCAGCAACACGCGAACAACTCGACGCAGGAGAGGTCAATGCAAAGACAAAATTCTGGCAGGATGTTGGCGATGAATTTTGGAACAACACAAGTGATTTCAACAACATCTGCGATGACGCCGCCAGCAACCCGCGTTTTGCAGCGATTGATCCTTCCGTTATCGTGCAGCACGATTCGGCAAAGCTGTTTGAGATGTGGAAAATGATTAACCGGAGCTACGTGAAGGCAAATTCAAAGTTCTACGTATCTGGCCAGAACTCTGACGACTTTTTCGCCTATTGTGAGGGTAACTTAGGTGCTCTTTATCTCCGAATCTGCACCAAAATTAAGCCCGAGTTGGCTGCATTTGTGTACGGTGGTATGTGTGCAGACGACGAGATTGACTCAATGAATCTCGGTGAAAATCGGGCTCGTACACCAGGACACAAGTCGGTAAAATGGCAAGATCAAGTCATCAAGACGATCAACCGTATGACCGACTTTATTGTTGGGGCGCCGCTACCTGCTTCGACTGCTCCACAAAAAGCCACTGGTGGAGGCGACAACGAGGATCAGCTTATCGACCGTATATCAAAGCTGCACCAAATGATTGATCAAGTCAAAAACAACCTCCGCAAGTCGGAACAAGAAGGAATTGCTGACACAGGACTAGCCAAAACCCTTCGCATGTATCAGTCGAGTCAGCAACGTTACGAAGAGCAGTTGGAGGCTCTGGGTTAATGGTTCGCGCTCAAGTAACTCTACGATTGCATCACGAACCCACTCGGATCTGTTGTATGGGTCAGTGTCAATGAATAAGTCAGACGAGCCGTACAAACATCGATAGCGCGACGCGTCTCGCTGATTAACCGTTGCATCCGGTGGTCATTCTTGTACTAGCCTGATTTCGTCAACTCCCTCAACTAAATCGTCATCTTCTTCGACTCTAGAGTTTCTGTTCTCGCGGAGACGCTGGTTAATGTACCAGTTATGAAGAATGCACGCTGCTAATATTGTTCGAGGGACTCGATTAAACGCAATCTCCAACGGGGCCTGGAAGGCTCTCCACTTGCAAACCCAGAAGACCGAGAGCCATCTCGACCCGGATACGAAGTTGGCTCAGATGGAAATTATAGCTATTATGGGCAGCCGTAACAATACGTGGTCGTGTAAACGGCGTTAGAAGTTGAGTTGAGTTGGTGTACGCGTTATCGCCAACAACATAAAGTCCGTTAGAGAGATTATTAACTACCAACGAGAGTCTCCATTCTGGCGAATGCTGGCATAAAATGCGCTAACACTTACACCACTGTTCGTGCGGACATCATGATACGAGCCACCACTGAGCCAACGCATGCACATTTGGAGCTTGTTAATGTGTGTGATAGGGTCGGTTCCGGTCCGGTTGCGTGACTGCTTCTCGTCGACCGGGCCGCCAAAGTCATAAACGAAGCGTATGACATCTTGTAACACTTCTGAAACTGGCCTTCGTCCATCAAAAGCTGGGCACGGTCTTCCCAGTCGATACGCACACGCCGGAGACACTCGCGCCTCACGTCGATGGGCAGTACCACCAGGGTCGCCGAAATAGCATGGCCATAACAATTATTGCCATAAAATCCATAAATATATGTATTGATACACCTTCGACTGTCACATAGCATAATTTATTTCATAAGAACTTCGATTAATCATAATATATGTGCCGTACCCAAAGCATATAATGGAGGTTTAGAAACCAACCATTGAACTTGGCTGAAGGAGCGTCAAAACCCCGAGAATAAACAACCAGCCTCATTCTTCAATCTTAAGACCCCCCCCCTCCAGCATCCGTTTCACCCGACTCGCGCCATGGTGATCGTTTCTCACCCTATCCGTCCAAGCTTCACGTCGGCTCAAGTCTCTCGCTTCTTTTTCCAGCCGTGCCGCGATGACTACGACGAAATTATCGACGAATACTTCCGGTGTCGTTGCGGCACGGTTAGAAAACAAACCCGTCGCAACGGGTTTACGAACCTACTACAACACGTGAGACGTGAGCACCCCGACTTTGAAACGAGAATGCGGGAGGCCTCGACTACTGAGACTGGCTCTTTACTGAGCTACGTTCGCCAGTCCTCCCAAAACCTTTACGGGTGGCTAACGTGGGTCATCATGAGCAACCTGTCGCTCGCATTCTGCGAAAATCGAGCTACAAGACGGTACGCTCTTTAACTCTGTCGATTAAGAATTTTTATAATTAACATTTTTATGTTTTATTTAGGTACACCACCTAGGACCCCATCTGTATCGAGACCCTGCGCTCTACAATGGAAGGGATCACGCTGGCGGTGGAGAGATCTATTGTCTCCGAGATGCCGGAGATATTTGGGCTCATCCTTGACGGATGGACCCATTTATCAGAGCACTATATCGCGGTCTTCGCCTGCTACGAAGTGAATGGGTAGGTGAAGACCCCGCTGCTGTGCATGGCCCCGCTCATGAACGAGTCCGACGACGACTTCTCTGCTGTTGCCAACAGAGAATTTCTGGCCAACATGCTTCCACGGGACTTTGGGAAGCAGTTATAAATATTCGGTGGATGCGGTGGGGTTCTCCTGCTCAAGTAGCTTTACTGAGTTAAAGAAGGAATCACGAGAAAGCGTCACCTACATTCACAATATCGTGTGAAGCGAGAATTACAATATCAGTACATTTGTATTTAACCAGATCTGTGCGATCTTGCAATCTCACTGTCTTTATTAATCCCATTTTCCAGATTAGGCGAGGTGTACTGTAATCAGATAAAACAAAAGGGATAGTGTAATGTGTGAGGAAAATACTGTATGCACCCAACCCATCCCAGCTTTGAAAACAACCTCTCCCTAGCGTTTACTATAAAAAAGAATTGGTTACACTGCCCACCAAGTGTATACACGTTTGTAGGTGTATCTATATCAATATTTGGAGTTGGCCACCGCAGTTTGAATATGTTATTTGTGTTATTGTTAGAAACCTCCCACTTGTGTTAACACTCGAGATTTAGCAGTTTATGAGGGGACTCCCATACAACCAGTCGTTTTTAGCCACGCGTCCAGTGTTACGCGCATCTACCAGAACAAAATGAAGTCGTTCTGAGTGATGGTCAATGCCAACTGTTTATTAGTCGTGCGTCTTACTCCCTCGCTTCTCGATCACTTCTTGGCAGCGGCGCGGCATTGAGGCGATCAGGGACCTAATAATCTTGAGCTCTATACTTTCCCACGCATCTTCAATGTCAGCACGCAGCTCTGCCACGCTGTTGAACTGGCGACCGTTTGAGTAGACACGCCTCGTTAGGATGGACCACAGGCTCTCGATTAGATTCAGGTCAGGAGAGCGCGGTTTCCAATCAAGAACCTGGACACCTTTCTCTTGCAGGAAGTCCATGGGTATGGATGGAGGCTCCATCCTGCTGGTGGATGAAGTCTGTATCATAGTGGAGATGCGCGAACGGTAGAAGAAACTCGGAGACCGTGTAGATGTAGTCTTCTGAGTTTTGGTGACCTGATAAGAAAGCAATCTTGATCTTGCCCTTGGCGCTGAGCGCTGCCCAGCTCAAACGGAAACAAACGGTGCGTACATTTACCTTATACTCTATGCTGAAGACTGACACGAGGTTCTCTAGCAAATAGCTGTGCAATATCCCCCGTGAAGGCAGGGCAGACACTTGCTTTACGATCTGGCACGCCGAATGGAACAACGGGAACGACATTCCGCGCGAGCTGGAACTGGAGCACAAGTTTCATGATCGGCCGCCTGCTTCGCGTTCAAGTAAGAAGAGAAGACAGCGAGTGCAGGCCACCAGCGAGCAGTCCATCGGCAGCGCCGATGATGGTAGTGATGCCAGTAGTGATGATACGTGAAGATGAGAGAACTGCGGGAGTGTGGCGCAGGTGTAGAGTTCTTTCTACGTGCGTAGGTATGATTTTGCGAACTGCAATCAATTGATACGTTTTCTTTGCTTTTTTGCTATAACTGAGTGGTCCAGTGATGCTGAACGTGTGCAGTGATGCAAAATGGGCTAACTGATAAACAGGACATTTATAATGTTTATTAACCCATCGTATGAGTTCCTTTTTGTTATTTTGTTCTTCATAAAGTAGAGTTATGTTGGATGCGCAATGCCATTACTCACCTGCCCGTCCTCATGCACAGCCCCAACCTCCACGTCAAAATTCGCACTTACCTGACGACCATACAATTCCGAACATATTAAATATGGGACAGGAGTTAAAATATACCCTCATAAAGAGGGCCCGGGAACTAAGGGGTTAGAAGGCGATACAAATACATCGGCGCCGGCCATCTCCTTGGTATTTAAAACAAAGTAGCCACAAAATCACTCATCAGCGCGAGCGTGTCCTCCAGTCGCGGCTTGCGTAACAATACAACATATTGGCGACGTCTTCCGACTGGCCCATAATATGGAAGATCATGCCGTCCGGCAACACGACGGTTTCAAACTTCCGTCCATACTTCCCATTGTGATCACTACTGACACTACATTGTGGCTCACCGCCTGTAGGTCTGCATATTCCGTGCATTGCACCATCCACGACGTCCCAAATATGATCCAGCTCAACATCTTGGTTGTAGATAGCTTGGCTAACTCACTTACTCTAGAACTATCTAAATCTAGATTACCCTTCAACATTTATTTTTGCTTCTCTCAGCGATGAAAAGCAGAGGATACTACTCAGCGCCCATAGATCATTGACACCGTAGCCGGTATGAAAGACGGTGAAGGGTACTACAGAGCACTTTGACTACTGCAATACGCTCGGGAGCGCGAACCCGTGCGGGTGACGTCAGGTAATCAGAAGAAAACCCTTTCTGGCGGTGTGTAAAGCACTATAAGTCTAGAGATGTGCCATCGGTGACGTTGCCGATATCAATTTGAACACGGGGGATGGAGGAACGAAGCGTAGAATCGTAGAGAAGCGCTACACCGTGGTGCCGTACCCTCGAAACTGCTTCTCAGTTGCGATGAAGTTGCTTCACACACAAAGAATCAAGCACGTCACCCGACGATACGCGAGGATGTCTTCGTCGCCATCAGGTCCATATCAGCGCTGCTTTGTCATTGAATCTCATCTGGTTCCGATTCAACAAAAAGCACGATCGCAATTTCTCATCGCTCGCAAACGAAACGGAAACGGCAAGCAATAATCAGGAATGCTCATATCCTTTTTCCTAACAGTTTTTGTTTCGCTCTGAACTGCTTAAGCACTCTATTATTGTAAATGTCATCCAATTTTTCCGATCTCGGACGGTTCGCCAAAAGTAGGTTGAAATGCTCAATAAAATTTCAAATCGTTTGACAATTGAAGAATACCATATGGGGACAGCCAGCTCAGTTAAGCCCGAATTCGCACTAAAGGATGGAAAATAGTGTGGCAAAATGGGCCAATTTATAGTGAGTTGTTCGAGTCAACCGCTTTTCGAAATACTGACTGGAACCCACAAAACGTCACCAAGATACTCGCTGGGATGCTATTCTTCGATATGTACTCTCATTGTTGTATGAGCTTTGGCGTTCCACAACTGGTTTTGCTGTCTTGAGCGCAACATTTGCATATATATGCACAACTCGTGCAATTATCAATAAAATGCCAAATAGCTGAACGTTTACGAGATGTCAATTTGCTTGAGATTGTGGTGGATTCCGCGCCTCCTGTCTTCATTATTGCGAGCATGATGGTCATCTACAATACTATGTACTTACCGATCTGGTCCGCGTTGGTAGGGATTCGCGGAGACTGAAATAGGAAATATCAAAAGTGCTGCAAAATTGACGCTGTTATGTCGGCGTATCGATAAATGCCGCCTACAACATGAAGTAATTCGTCTTAGCTCCACACCGTTAGGAGCGACCATGGTTATATCAAATGACCCCTCTGAGTAATGGCAAGGTTTTGCTTCGCCAGATAAAAAATAACAAAACTTACGCACTTACACTCCTCAGTCTAATTGCTGTAGTCTGACCCTGACTACTTTTGGATTTTGGTTCGGAGTTTTTTGTGATCCACTCGGTGATTTCAGCTCCCGTTTGTGGAGCTACCCGTCCAAAATTTAGCAAGCATACTCAGATACTGGCGCCTGGAATCGTAGAAGAGATAACTAGCTATCTCTTCTGCGATTCCTGCCCTCGAAAACTATACTCCACCTTGCATCCCAGATACTGAGGCCGAACACGTTAGTAGCGTCGTAAGATCACACAACTAAAGTCGTGCATTTATGCTCAGTAGAGTCGTACGATTTTGCGCAACATGTGATTCGTACGATTCTGCAACGTACGATCCTGCTTGCACCACGTTTGAGATGCAATATCCAGTGAACGCAAGCGTGTAACATCAACCATCCAAAAATGATGAGATTTGTAAATCTTCCCATTTGTAGCACAATGAAATATCGCAGACTACTGGATTCAGCTGCACACTTTCGACTGAAGTCAGATTTAGCGGAGCACATTGCAGAGCTATCGTGATACAGGACTTATTCATTCTGCTTTATAAGTTTTGCCAATAGCTGCTTCTGTTTTATAAGAAGGTACTCCTTCCCAAATTCAGACAGACCTTCTGTCGACGTACACATTATCGTCATTTCTGTCTGATCATTTAGGGCATGGTGCTGAGTCTCGAGTATCGTCACTTTACGTTGGGCAACTTCAAGTTGCTGCTTCATTATACTCACTTGAGCCGTCATTGCATTTGCCAACTCACGCTGCGAGGACATCATTGCCTTGTCAACTTGCTCTTCCAAATAGCTGTTTCATTTTCTTCTTGCCACCTGAGCGGGGTCGGCTATTCGTTGAAGAATCCTTGCAATTTGGAGATGGAGACAGCAACACGTCGTCAGCGTCAAATGCATCGTCTTCACTAATATCATCCTCAAAGTTATTTGCATTTTCAAGCTCGTTCTCGGTCGACTTCAGTATCTGCGTCATACATTAGAAAACTTTTGTTAGTGTACAATATTTTTTCTTAATTAATTTGTTAGATTAAGATTACCTTGGGTCTTGTTAGTAGATACAAGCGAAAGCCGCGGTCGTTTGCGCAGCCGGGGGACGCCTCGCATAAATCTCACGCTTTGACGCAAAACGGTGTGGCAGTGGCCGAAACGAAACTCTTCAGGCTTCACACGAGGTTTACGCTTCTTCCTCGCTGTTCCTTTCTTGACCTCTTCCTCACATGTCCTCAGCGCATTCTCATTCTGCTGCTCTCGTTTTGGTGTGAACCGATTTTTGCTTCGTCTACGTAATCTTCTTCAGTCCAGCCACTTCGATCCTCCGCTTTTGCCTTCGCAAGCCATAGCATACATAATTAAGTTTAATAATAAATGAAATATTACAGATAATAGAGCAAGTGTTCTTCACCGAAGCCAAGCAAGACACATAGAGGCACACATCGGGCCGGATAAGCCCCTACCAGCGACTTTACAAAGCCCAAGCTTCCTTGAACGAACTTCTGAACCTGCTTGCTGCGCGAATGCGTCGCTAATGCAGTCCCAAAACAACGCCGACGACTGGTCGGTACTCGTGTCGCCATCTTCGGACGCGTTCGTGTTTGCGTGGCACAGGTAGACATCTTCTTCTGGTGTCCATGGGGCTGCATTAGGCATTGTTCACGTTTTGGGAGCGACTGGGAGGGTTAGGCACCCATAGAACTGCGTAGTAGCGGGGGCGACGTGATACAGAGGGCGGCGTCAAGTGCTTGGTCGAGCGGTTTCTGTTTTTGCAATAGGTCGGTAGCCGTAGTGAATAGCAGGAGGCTATTCACTACGAAAAGGTCGTAGTGCACAATCACTTTAATGATGTTACTTTACTATTACTTTTGTGTCCCTATCAATACACTGTTGGAGGTCCAAATTTCGAATTTGAGTAAGTTTGGTCATTTCTGCGTATATTGCACTACCGTTGGAGATGCTCTAAGGCTGACAAGGAAGCACGAACGGCATGGGCGCGGGAAATGCTAATGAATCCAGAGGGGAAAGAAGTATGGGAGAAAATTATATTTTCAGATGAAAAAAAAGTGGAATCTTGACGGTCCCGATAACTTCCAGCACAACTGGCAAGATATCCGGCAGCCACCACGTGAGAATCGCCGCTGCCAAGCCGGTGGTGGGTCGTGCATGGAAGGAAAGTAGAGTGGATTGTATCTGCTTTTTGGCGGGCTATGGGACCAGGAACATACTTCTGGTTTTGGAATTTGAGCGAAACCAACACGGGTAAATCGTTTCGGTTGGCGGCGTCGACTGGATCAAATATGCGTATCATCGAGCCCAGTCGCAACACAAATCCATCGACCGCATGCAATATCTCATAGTGCATTGATAACCTATAAAGTATATTTTGAACCAGCCAATGAAATGTGTCCTAGACATGAAGTAATAGTAAAACGTTCTAAAAGGCACACACTATTTACTGTCAAATATAATTATAAGGTCAAGTTTTCCCAGGGTCTCACAGGCATGCATTCGCAATATAGTGACGCTGAATCAACCTGGCATACCATCACTACGGTCAAGACGTATGCAGCGAAAATTGTGACGTGAGTAGCCACAAGTGGTCATGTAAGCGTAAATCGATTTAGAGGTTCTCCGACCTGTTAGATGGTCATTTTCGATGATCATGTTATGGAGTAAGACACAACATTTCAGAGTTTGTTTGATGTTATCCAAAGACCACGTCCTAGCAGGGCGAGCAATAATTGCAAAGCGAGCTTGAAGTACACCGAACGCTCGCTCCACGTCTTTTCGTATTGATTCTTGTAAAGTGGCAAATTTTTCTGTTTCTCATCTAAGGGGTGGAGATTGTTTTTACAAAACATTTCCACTCTGGATAAATGCCATCAGCGAGATAGTAGAGGAAATCGTACACTTTTCATGTTGCCTTATTATTTCTGCAGTTTGCACTTCCGTTGGAGATGTTCGTAGAGAGCGGTAACGAACTGACTCGCGTTACAGCACCGATAATGACGACACCACGTCAAAAGTAAAGCACCGTAAGGCACCGATAACGACGACACACGTCAAAAGTAAAGCACCGTAAGGCACCGATAACGACGACACACGACAAAAGTAAAACACCGTAAGGCACCGATAATGACGACACACGACAAGCGTATAGCACCGTTAGGCACCGATTTGTCATAAGTAGTCGACTATAAGAGTATATCACCGTTAGGTATTAACACCGATAAATTATCTTTATAAGAGAAAATAATGATAAGTTTTGATGTGAACGCTCTTCGACTAGAATTTTGTCGTTCAACTTATTTGGTAAAAACAATGAACTTCAAAGTGGAAAAAAAAATACATTACTTAAAGCTAAAATGTTTGACCAGTTGCTCGTGTACATCTTTACAACTATTGTGTCGCTCTGGAAGTAGTCGTCTCTCACTGGAATAACACACTAACATCCATAGCACACGCAAGCGCATGATCCTGACGTAGGATGTGGTTACTTTTCGCTTAGTGTTGAATCTCGAGAGGTTATTCAGAATAGCGTATGCTTGGCCAAGTATCATCACACCGCAACTGGCTCCGTCGGGTTGCTTTGGGGATCTCAATTTCTTTTTTTTAATTGTCGGAAGATGAGGAAGCGGTAAAAGCAGTTTCCCACTCGCACGAAGATCTATGTTCCACTCCGCCCTCTGACTTGAGCAATCCTTGTGCCATTGTTGGATAAATGGTAGCATTCCGTTGTCAAACTCACGTTCCATCTCCAATTCATAGCTGCCTATGGGATCGTACAAATAAACCGCAATCCCATTGGAGTAGTCGATCTTGACTACGATCAACGTCCAATGTATTCCCTCAATATTGCAAGGGTACACAAGATATTCCATCCGTAACAACTCTTCGTAAATCTTATCTCCAGTTACCGTTCGTCGTCCAGGAACGGTTGGTGTCGATGGCCAGCACTTTAATCCGGCGCTTGGATCAAATACACGACACCCAAACCGCATATCGCACATCGCCTGAAGGCACATCAGAAGCACTGTATCGGAGAGGAAGCAGTCACGGGCAACGGCCCCAACTACCTTGCTGAAGTCAAGCGAAAACGCCCCGGACGGTAGTACAAATGCTGTTTGCAATGCTGCAGTCTTATACTTCTGCAATTTATCATCAGCGCTGCCTTTTTCACGGCCCCCTTTCGATCGATATTCCCAGTCGTCTCTTCGCCAAACAATTCAACGTCGTCAACTTGCTTTGAACTCCAAGACAAGCATAGCCATTTCATGTCTTTCTCCCAAGAAGAACACATTTGAGAGATTGCGAAAAAAAATAGTCAGGCGAAATACGGCTCGGCTACATCAATGTAAAAGAAATGAAACGGTATTAGAAAATCTACAACAGCCAACTCGTAACTCGATCAAAACAAAACTGTTACTCACCTTGTGAATTCTTTCAATTGCTTGCCGTAGCTCACCACAATCTCGGCGGTACTCTTGGATACATCTAGTGGCTGTAGCAGACTCTCAATGCGTCAGTCATGACGCTTTTCTTCCATTAATACTCGCTCCATAGTCCTCACTAGTTCCAAGGGCACCACAAAATTGTAGTCGAAATCAGCTTGATCAACTGATTCTCGACGACATAATGGCTCACGTCCAATTAAAAATCGATCACTCATTGCCTTCGGGTACGCATTCAATGTAGCCTTACCAAGGCAGATATCAGGCGTGACTTTGGCCCACCGAAGAAGATCCGACAGCAATATTGATATATCCGGCCAGACTATAACAGCGGTACGATCGGCAGATACGAGCTTCATTTGCTTCTTGGTCTTGCGGGTTGTGTTTCTAGGTTTTATGGCTGGGAGCTTTAAAACATCAATATTCTTGCTGTTTGCGGATGCTTTCACGGCCGGTGATTTTGTGGAGGATGCCAGTTCTCTGTTGATGTTCGTCTGTGGAGGGGCAGCGGAGGCGGGAGATGATTGTGGAACAATGGACACATCGTGTGATACGTACCGCGGGTGTGTATCGGCATCTACATCCTCGATCGCGTCGTCGGCGACAGAGTCAACTTCAAATAAGTCGTAAAATGAGTTTTTAGAATCATTTTGCTCCATCGTTTTGGGTTGGTCTTCAAGATTCTTATCGTGACTAGCACTTTTATCGGCAATAGTGCTAGAACTTGAAAGTGCTCTCGCCACACTAAAGCCTCTGCTAAATCAACTCTCGAACTTGTCGTCAGAAAATTTTTACGAGCAGCTAGCTCGTTGGGACCACATATATCGGTACTTCTCTGCCGATTACAGAACCACCACATTGGCTCTTTCATTGCGTCTCAGCTTTAAAACTCCACCCGACTTTGCTTGCATTTGCGATCCGCTGAAATCCGAGGCAAAATATCGCCATCAGTTGGTTCTGCGGTGTCCGAAGGCGATGCCGTATGATTTTTTGTGTTGTAAGGTTTCACAGTAGCGACTTCCAATCCCGTAGATATAGATTTTACTCCATCACAAATAGCATCATATAGGTCAGGGCCAGCATTCACACTCCATCGCTGAAATACTGCAGATTCAGGAATTTCTGCCAATTGAAGTCCATCACGGGCGATGAGGAGGAGATGTTGGCATGGCAGTTTAATACTGGAATGGAAAATACATATGCATGTCCACTGGATATCGTCACAAATGTATACATGAGAGTTCGAATAAACATTCCACTTCCGTTCTTGATCAGATTTTGTGCAGCGAGCCGAGTTCATAACCGTGTTCAAAAGATCCCACTCACGTCGCACGCGCTGATATGCATATTCGCTGAGAACACTTGCAAGACGACGAAGAAAAACAGGCACAGCGCCAACAGGGCGTGATTTGGTCGCATATCGACTCAGATCCGAAGTAAATTGATGTAAAACAGCGACTTGATGACACAAAATTCCCGCGACTGTCTTGTCTAAACCTGGCCAATAGCCCAGAAGCATTTTCAACTGGTTCCAATTGGCTTCCACACGGTTCGTTGTGGTGTTCCCGGCACTGAAATATCGACCACGAGAAAAACTCGCCCACATATTGACACACGTCTTCCAATTCTTATCAAAATACACCAGCACCTCCGGGCTATCCGATTCACAGAAGTCTGTGAAGGATTGGTAACTCTCTTCAAAAGCTGTTTTGCTGTAGCTGTCGATCAATAAGCTGTTAGATGTAGGAAATTAAAAATAAAATGAATTTACCTTTTCAGCATCTGCATGAACAACGACAGAAGTCGCTCTCTCTGTGCAACTCGCAAATCAAATTGCTGTCGTCGTAGTAACTTTTTCCAGTAGGAGATCGCGTGAATTGACATAATAAGACCTTGGCCTGAGGAAAACAATGGTCTAGTGCTCGCCATTCTACGAAATCTTTGTCGATAACGACAGATTTAATCTGCTCCCAGCCATTGTTTTTCGCCTTAAAAAAACCAAGAATGTGCTCCATTGTGGTTGCCTTTTGATTGAGGGACACAAAATCAAGAATGGTTATTCCTCGACCTGTAGGACATGTCACAAGGAAACTCCCTATAAGAAAAAAAGGGGGGTAACATCATACACAGAACTTAGTCCATACCAATAAATTATACCGTACCGAGGCGATATCCGAGGTTGTTCGTAGAGTGAGTCCAGTC